CGAGCGGCGTGCCCTCGCCGCCGCCGTCGAGAGCCTGGCGCAGCGCGTGGCGGGCCGGGTCGCCGACTTTGAGGAGCAGCAGCCGCGCCAGCAGCAGCAGCAGGCCGGTGGCGGCGCCGAGGCCGCCACAGGCCGTTTCCAGACCACCCTCAACGGCCTCCTGCAGAGCGACGACCGCCTGCTCGCGAGCTTGCAGAAGCTCGGGCAGCAGTTGGAGGAGCACGAGGTGCACGCCGGCGCCGAGAAGGCCCGCGAGACGTGCGCGCGCCTGATCAAGCACACGGTCGAGATGATCCGGACCAGGCTCGACCGCGTCTATCTCGAGGCGGTGGAGTCGGCTTTGTCGTCCGAGACGCTGGCCGCGTCGGTAGACGATGTCAAGGCCGTGGAGGCAGAGCTTGAGGAGTTGTATACGGAAATCCTCCCGGTTGCGCAGATGTCTGCCGAGCAGCAGTTCCTCGAGCCCATGGTTCAATCGTTGCGAGAGCGGGATGCCTCGAATCTAGCCCGGTCGAGCGAGGCTATGAACTATGTGAGTTATCGCCTGGACTCTAACCCTCTTCAAACTCGCGTGATAATGCCATAGTGATCTGACGCATCTTCTATTGGATCTCCAGGCGGAAGGCTGCCTCGACTACCTCCTTGCAAACATGTCCACTCTGGCAGCCCACGTCGAGGACATCAAGGCCTACGAGTCGGCCTCCGAGGTCATCATCCGCACGGCAAAAGCCGAGCTCGCATCACCCACCCCGCCAGACCCCACCGCCCGCCCTTCCAACAACAACAACTCATCACCCACGCGCCGCGCAAACCAGTCCGCGTGGCCGGGGGCCGGCACCGACGTCTCGCCCGTCAAGCGGCCCCAGAGGTCCCGCACCTTCCCCACCAGCAGCAGCAGCGGTGGCGGCGGGGGCCAGAGTCACCGTCGGCGGTCGTCAGGCTTCGGGGTGCCCGAGGAGCCGCCGCTGGACGTGCTCCTGCGCGACCTAGCGCTCACCCTCCCCGACGACGGCGACCTCGCCGACGCCGCGGCGCTCGGCTCGGCCCTGCGCTCCCGCGCCGCCAAGGCCGCCGACGTGGCGCGCGACGTGCAGGCCTCGTTCGAGGCCTCGGCCCAGCACCACCTGGCCGACTCGGCGCGCGCCGTCGCCATGCTGCTCGAGGGCGTGCTCTCGGAATCACCGGCGCAGCCGCCGCCCGCGACACAGCCTGGCGCCGGCGACGACGACGACGACGACGACGTCGTGGGCACCGCGCTCGGGGACCCGGACATCGAGGCCTCGCTCGCCGTGCTGAACCACGAGGTCGACCGCGTCGCCGCAAAGGTCCGGGCCGCCGAGGCGGAGCTGCGGGCCCGCCAGGCCGCCGCGGGCGCGGGGAAGAGGTCCGCGTCCAAGCAGGAGGAGATGGTCAGGCGCTGGGGGCCTGTTCGCTGAGGCCATGTGGTCTGCTACGGGCGGTGCATTTACTCGGTGGCCTGGCGCTTACCACATTGACGGCACGCCTACTGTCAGGGTAGTAGGCGTTGTGGCAGACGATGGAAGCATTTTCTTTTTAGTTGTTATAACACATTTATCGCACATGTAGTCCCGGGGTATATCATCCAGCATACGGAGAGATTATAACGAGAACTTGTATGAAACGACGACATCTTCGTTACTCCCCACCAGTCCCTTCTTCACCGCGCTGGTAGATAAGACCTCAAGTAAACAACCCCTTTCAGTTACTCAAGGCGGCAAAGCCACTGGACCCCGGGCGCTTGAGTATGGCTAGTCCATACTGCTTGTACGGTGTCCCCGGGGCGGAAGAGGGAGGAATGCATCACGTGGGGATTGGGATCTGATGTTGCAGCGACCTAGGTCGGTTGGACCCAATCTGCCGTCGGGGTTTGGTTTTGCGATCCGGCACCAAGTCACGTCGTCTTTGTCGTTTGTTCTCCGTTCCATCCTTGTCTTCCTTCTTCTCTTCTACAGTATCGCGTGAGCTGACAAAATCACCTCCGGAGAGGGTTCAGGGGTTCTGGCATTTGTCAAGTTCAAACCCCGCATGTGCGGCAAAAGCCATGACTGGAGCCGGCCAAGATTTCGCGGCGCCGCACACCACGCCATAAAGCATATCCCGAATTCCGGCATTCCCTCCCGCCCCTGAGCCCGGCCCGCGATGGGCGCAATCAGGGCATCATGTCGCAAAGGCCGAGGCGGGTCGTTGCAGGCCTGCCAGCAGGCAAGCGGAATCCCGATATTTTCCCATTTCTCATTCGTCCATGCCCATGGCGTTGTTGCGTATTTGATCTATGCAGGCATCGAGACTCGTCAGCATCAATACTCAAAGAAGAAGGAGGGATGGGCACAGTAATGGTCAGGAGCGCAGAGCGTGTATGCATGCATGAGGCAGGGAATGAAGCGATGTGTGTCTGGAAGGGTGTGTGCGTGTGTCTGTACGTAGATAGGTACGTAGGAGGGGGTTGATCAAGAGGAAGTTGTCCAATGGTCTTCACCCCTAGACAGGCTGCCTCATGCGCCTGCAACTCCACCATCGTTGTCACGCCTCCTTGCTGGTCACACCCAATAAAAATATATGTCCATTACAAGGACGGGGGCAAGAAGGCAGATCGGGAGGGGGGATGCGTCACACCGCGGGAAAGAACCACCCGGAGCTCACCTCTCATGCCGCCCAGGGCCTCGGACGCCACCGCGTAGTTGTCCAACGTGCCTAGGATGCTCATCAACCCCTGGTTCAGTCGGGTGACCAGGTTGCCGACCAGGCCAGGCGGCTGCTGCCCGCCGCTCCCCGCTGGTACCGCCACAGGGGCCCCTCCAGCTCCACTACCGTCGAGGCCATCTGCCCCGCTGTTGCTGATGTATGCCGTCTGTTGCTGCTGCTGGTACGTGTTCAGTGTCTTGGTCTTCTGACGCACCATCAGTAGCGCGTAAGCGCACTGCATGGCGCAGCACGCGAAGGAGGGCATGGTGCGTGGTGCCGGGATGGTCGATGTTGGTGACAGGAGCCATGGGACGACGGGGGCGCCGGCGCCGTGACTCCCATTGGTGGCACCACCCCCCAGTCGGTTGCTAACACTCCCATTAGCCACGTTACTATCGCCCGCTACCATGGCCCCATCGGCCAAGCCAAAGGGCGGGGCGGCCATGGCCGAGGGGTTCGGGTACGGCAAGGTGTCGAAGTCGCTTGCAATGTTGAGCGCAGATCGTAGACAGATCTTGGCCGAAGTATGGCTGCTGAACGGGAACAACGTAAAGGGCGTAGCCGTTGTGGAGGAAGCAGTGGTCGTGTTGCTGGTGACGCTGCCACTGGCCCCTCCGTCCGACCGGGGAGAAGAGGACGAGTGGTGGCTTCTGCTCCCGCTGCCGCCGCTACCGCCACCGCCACCGCCACCGCCGCTCGATGTGGAGGATGATGACCCGCCCGTTGCCGGTGGGGATGTGAACAGGGAGCAAGTGCAACTCGACAGCTGTCGCAGCTCCTGGTCCAGCTCCTCGGCGAGTGAATCCTTGCTCTTGAGATCGCAGTGCTTGGCCGCAAAAACAGGTATGTCAAAAAAGGCGCAGTATCGGTGGAGCTTTATCCGGGCGCTGGCGTGGGTGGTGGCGGTGTCAGCGTGTGCGATAATCTGGACGAGACAGGCTAGCTAGGCTGCTGGTGAGGTCTACTAGAACAAACAGGTACATACCTGTTCAGTTTTATTCGAGCCATACATCTTAGTGAGCGACCAACTACTTCTTCGCTCGGCTCGATAGTCAGCGTGACTGGTGATGTCAGGTCCCACGTTTCGGACTTGGCCAGTAATGGCTCAAGCCTAGCCTCGAGCTCGACCATCTTGTTGTAAACCCTATTCATGTCGCCGTTCGCTTTCATCGTTTTGTTGAGGTCGATAACAAACTCGGTCGCGGTCAGGATGGCCTGCTGGGCCGTGATGTACGCTGCAAAGGCCTGCGAGGTAAGCCATGTTAGCCCCCAACTTCCTGTGACAGCATCTTTGTCGAATACACCAAGCCTGTTACGTGCCTCTGGATCAGCCTGGACTGAAGGGAACTTGGCTGTGAAGCTTGGCGAGAAGGCGGCAAATGTGGGTTGCTGTATCATGTCAGCGAGTGTTTCAAGGTGTAGACTTGCACGACGAACTACTTACCACATTGCTCACAATGGCCCCTTGGCAGACACACATGTACTGGGTGGGCAAGATGTTAGATGAGGATATATAAATTGAATTCGGTGATAGGCAGACGAGGCTCACAGTCATCCACCAAACTCTTCGCCTTGCCTCTGTGAATGCGTCTTCCTCCGTGTTTTCGTGGATGGCAAGCGCCATGGAATTGACCAGAGCCTGTCCAGCACGGCTCTGCATCTTCTTCAGATTGCCCCGCTGGGCATACTCGTAGACGCTCAGGATGTTGAGAGCTACGATACTCTCAAGCTGGCGAGGCAGTCCTGGATGGAACGGCGGCCTGTCGGAGAAGTCGTCCTGCGAGAAGCTCTGCTCTGACGACAAAACAGATTGCGGAAGGGTAGAAGATTCGGGGATCTCGGACTCGGCCTCGATGGTCTCGACGGCCGCCTGGGCCAGGAACTGCGCATAGCCCCGGCGAAAGAGTACTGACTCGTGGGCGGCGTGATTGGAGTCGTTGGCGCAGGGTATCAGGGCCAGCACGGCCGAGACGGCTAGTGCGATTGGAGACGTCGGCTCGTAGTCGCCACATTCGTCGAACTCGTTCGGCTGGTGGTTCTGCAAGCGCGGCACGAAGTTGTCCAGGGGTATGCCACTGGGAGGCGGGAGTATAGGGAAGTAGGGATGGATGAAGATGTAGTATGCCTCTAAGCTGTTGAGAATGTTCAGTTCAGAATCTCTAGTCAACCGGATGGCATGTATTTTGTGCGATGGGGCAAGCTTACATTGCGCCGTCGTCCCTGTAGGTGCGCACCATAGGGATCGGCTGCACTGGGGCGGGGGCCGGGGTTTCGACAACACTCATGGTGGCGTTGGTATCGAGGTAGTCAGTTTGTAGGCCACTCATAAAGAGGCTGTCAAAGATGAAGTCGCTGTCCTGATACCAGTCGCCCAACTGCTTCAGCCCAGCGCCTGGGTCAATGTAGTTCTGGATAGCTATCGCTGTATCACACCAACGTCTTCAGTCAGTACTTGTTCGCCAATAAACCGGCTACCGGCGGATGCTGAACAGGACATACGTTCTTGCAAAACCTCGGCGGGCTCTGAAGGAATCATCTGCCCCTTGAGCTCATCGTTCTCGGGCCTTGGCTTTCTGCGCACGCGGGCGCCACCCCGCTTGCTTGGTTTGTAGACACATTCTCGGGCTTTTGATTGGCACTGTCCCAACGTGTTAGCCAGCCATCTAACAATGTAAAGAGCATAGATAAGAAAGGATGTAACGAATGTAAGAGTAGAAAGGGGCGAGCATACGCTAGAGCACGGGTGGCCTCCATCGCATCGAGTCCGTGAAGCTCGGCTGAAGAATGGGGTTTGGCGGTCAGCTGATAAATCCAGATCAAGAAACGTCTTCAAACCCCGGGGCCAGACCATGCAGCCTTGCGCCCTTGACCTCCGTGTCAAGCTGCCAGGCGCGCCCACAGTGTGACCGCTGGGCTCAAGTCGGGGAAGGGTTCTCTCATACCATGCTAGGCAAGCGATCTTGACAGGGGGTGTTGCGAACTTCTTCCGGATCCCGGAGGAGGTAGGCTGGCCGCTAACCTGCGTCGCGGGGAGTGACATGGTCTCGGCCATGGCTGTCAAACGCCGAAGCGGGCTTGCAGGCGTGGGAATGGTTGATGCAAGAGCAACCAGTGTCTTGCAAGTATCTATACTTATCTGCCTACCTGGGCAGAAATGTAGACAGAGGCTGCTGTGCTTGAGATGGGCCTCGGGAGATGCAAAGTAAGTGGCTTCTCAGGGCGGATAGCCGGGCACTCGGGGTTCCGCGGTCTGCAGGTTATGTGGGTCGAGCGCATAGGCAGGCTGCCGCCGCTGCTCTCCGCGAGCGAGAGTCGGAGCGGTGCAAACCCGTGCTGTGGCCTTCTCTTGCCCAGTCGACTGACTGCGGCGGCTTGGCAAGGGGGTAGTGCACCGAGGCCTTGGGGAGCCGCCTTGTTCCAATGGATATCGGGCGACAGGGAGGCGCCGATGAAGAGACGGGTGGTAGCCGTTCAGTATGAAGTTGTGCGTTCTGCGGAGACGGCACCGTAGGCGACAGCGCGCAGCAGCGGCGCGAGGCTTTTTATCGCGCCACAGATAGCTCAGTTGAGGGTGACTCGGGAGCAGTCAGGTGGGTCCCAAGGTACATGGGCTCTAGGATTTGCCCCAGCCTCGGCGCGACACTGCAGGTGCTCGCTGCGGTGGCAGTCTGGTCCTGGTAATCGATCGCTGGTGCTCTTGAAAAGGTCCAGCAGACGGGATGAGGCGCGCAGGCGAGTTGAGCCAATTGGCCGTGCGGCGCATGTGGAGACGGGCAATGACAAAGACGACGTCGTTGGGGCTCCCGACTGTGCTCAGAATGAGGGCTAATGTGGGTTAATCAAGCTGGTATCGGCGTGGGATATCGGGAAACACCACCCATGGATGCTAGCTGTCGCACATTCATTGCGGTCTGAACCCAAACGGCGCCGCCCGTCAAATCAGGCGATTCATTCTGGAAGTCTGGGCTCGAGCCAGATCTGGGATTAGTCATGCACTTCGGCAGCTCACCAGCGGGGCGTCGATAAACGATGCAGCCAATGGCGCTTGGTTGGAGTGCTCACTGCCGCCTCCTCGTCCAGGGTTCTTCCCCGCGGCTGAGGAAAACTCCCGAGCGTGTTCCCCCCTTGATCAGCCCTGGCCCCTCCTCCCACCTTTTCCATCCACCGCGCCCATTTGTCCTAGGTATGCCGTCCGCCATGGGTGCAAGGCGGCGCAGACAGTGTCGTGTATCCTGCTTGCTGGGCAGCCTTGCCCCTGAGGCAACAGTCTGGTGTTGCTGGCTGAGTTGTTTGTTGACATCTTAGACCCCATCAGCCTCGGCACTAGCAGCATCGTAGCAAGCCCTCTTCTTCTATTTCCCAAAGCTTCTGTGGAGACGGTCGGCATCTTCCGTTATCACACCATGAATCGATAAAGGCCGCTCCTTGTGCGTCGTGATGACTTCCTCCGGCGTCGCTTGGCTCGGCTGGCCACCTGAGTCCCGCGGCCCTCCCGCCTCCCCGCGACAGCTGCCCCTACATAGAACAGCCTTCTTGCCCAGCATCGGGCACGCGCAGACTGGCCCCCAAGCTCACCGACCTCGTCCTCGGCGCCAGTGTCTGGCTGCGCGGCAGGGCTAATGCAATATTGTGATCCATATCCGACCCCTCGACTCCGTGTATGCAAGTACTCTTGATGCAATGGTCCATTGGTGCTACAAGCTGGAGTGGACGCAGCTGTCCATCATCCCCGAAACAAACTAGGGCAAGCCCACTTTGGCCCGGGTACTGTGTCTAGAAATTCGATGCAAGAATCCAGGACCTTTTTATTTTTTTTATTTTTTTTACGAAAGCTTTCTCACACCTACAGAAGCAGCCCATGGGCATTTGCCTCTCATATTCGAGGCCTCACGTCAAAGGTCTGGCCACCCCGCCAAACAGCAGTATGTTCATGCCAGCCGTACCTCTCGCAGCCCCTGTGCCCCTGTGCCCCTGTGGCAGCGCCAAGACACGCAGATGCAGGCGGGCACTAACTCCGCTCCCCGCCCACGCTGTCTTCGCCCGCCGGTGATCCTACTCTACCCCAGCATAGCACTGACCAGTCCAGTCACACAGGACATTCTTGGGAGCCTGGATCTTCCAGGCCGCCTGTGTACATAACAGCCCTCATTCCAGTGCTCTCCCACGAGACCCACCGCGGGGCCGCTCCAGTGTGGAGGTATACATCTGGTTGACCGGTTGGCCTAAGAAGACCTAGTCAGGAAGGTCGCTGCCTTCTTTTTTACCTTGCCCTCTCTATGCCGGTCCCTCCAAGAACGCGACGCATGCATCTACAATACGATGGGTAAATCTTGCCAAATGAACGATCTTGGTGTGAAGACACCTGGCCAGCTCGGGGCCCCAGCATGGCTACACCCCCACGCTTGCCAATATCCACACGCTGGCGGGGATCTGCAGTCTTTACAACAGGGGCTATTGGGTGCGCAGACGGCTGGGTACCACCCAACATGAACCGTGCCTAGGAAATTCAGCTTTGCATATGCGGAGGAAAAGTGCGCAAACCAACTCACCCAGCCAAGACGAGCCCGGGCATGCGACCACCCGAGCCGAGCTTTTATCTATCTGTTTGTGGAAGCTGGAGCCTCTCGCTCCGCCCATGCGCCTCTCCAATACCTAAAGCCTGGGTACCATGAGCCTATACTGCTCGCAGTTCACCAACATGTTCGAGATTGCACTACCTATCGGGAGTCTTCCCGAAGCCAGTGCCAGTGTCAGCAAGGCCAAGTCCCTCAACCCCGTGACCGGTGAGCCAAGATCCCCTACCCTCCTGAATCCTCTGATACCGTCCCTCGGTGAACCCGTACTAACTCCTCCGGCTCTCCCTATCATGCGTAAGGTGTTGGGAGAGTTCTTCCGTCTGGTTGTCAGATCACAAAAAGACTGCGGAATGCTTCAGTCCGAGAGCAGCCACCGCGTCAGGTCGACCCTGCTGGCATGCGCAGGTTAATATGGACCAAACGGCTCCTATCTCTAGGGGTCAGTCCAACGCACCATTTATAAATGCATGGAGCACCCATCGCTGCCTCTCCCGACCCCGCCATGCCTCTCACGAAGATTCTTCCACAACAAGCCTTCCTATGCTGAGACTGCAACTGCTTGAGAACAGAGAGCATCATTCAATACCACCTGCAGCGAGAGTCCTTCCTCTCCTAAGCCTATCTCCTACCTAGGCTGGGTACCCCAGAGACGGTGCGAACAATGGTCGTCTTGCGCAGTGGCTTGCTTGTCTCGGCCTTGCAGATATGCCTTTGGGCCATCGTCTCCAAGGAGGTCGCCTGCAGCTATGCAGACAACATAACTCTTCCACAAAGATACGGATTCGTCGCCTTCCGCGCCTTTGAGTCTCTTGACCTCTTTGGCCCGCTCCAGGTGCTCGCCATGCTGGCAAAGCTGCACCGCATCGACGTTTCCATCATTGCCGAGTCTATGGAGCTCGTCACTACCGAGCCGGTGATGGCAGCGATGAATCCAACAAACTCAAGCGTCGTACGACTCTAGCCACACGTTCCATTGGTGCAAGCATCGGCGGAGAGGAGGAAATAGGGTGGCGAGTCTAGAAACTGACAGATATATATCAACAAAGTACCCTCGCATCGCGCCGACGCATACATTCACCAACGCCCCATCGGATCTTGAGGTCCTCATCATCCCGGGCGGCTTGGGGACGCGGTCGCCTAACGCGGGGGAGCTGGTGCAGTTCGTCAAGGAGACGTACCCGCGGCTGCGCTACCTCATCACCGTCTGCACGGGCGCCGCCTTCGCGGCCAAGGCGGGCCTGCTCGACGGCCGGCGCGCCACCACCAACAAGCGGTCCTGGGCCGAAACCACGGAGCCCTGGGCCGGGACCGTCCGGTGGGTGCCCCGCGCGCGCTGGGTCGAGGACGGCAACGTGTGGACCAGCTCGGGCATCTCGGCCGGCATCGACGCCACCCTCGGCTTCGTCGCAAAGGTCTATGGCCAGGCCAACGCCACGCATGTGGCCAACTTGATGGAGTACGGCTGGCACGAGGACCCGAGCTGGGACCCGTTCTCGGATGCCTTTGACGTGCCAGGGAGGGACTAGCAGGGAGAGACGTCCCGACAGGGTGGATTTTCTCGGGCAGGGTTACGAACTACCCATGCTGCTTCTGTCGTTGAGTCGTGTTGATTCCTTCCTTCTGTTGTGCCATTTTGGTCTGGCCAGTCCTGTTCTTCTCTTCTTTTCTTCGTCTTTATAAAGAAAGGGACATCAGAGCATTCATTGCAACGGAGGTATAACTGGGATCAAAGCCCTCATATCCTTCCAAACGAAGAATTGCGTCGACGCGATATGCGCAGTCCAGATTATCTCTAGTTGGTCTGTGTGTTGTCCCATCATCATCTTCCGATCTCGGCCAAGCCAGTTTCTCCTAGGCCCGCAAAGGCTATACTGCAGGGAAATAAAGTCTGGTAAGTATGGGTGTCAGCTGATAGGCTGGGTGGGTGACTGGCTGGCACCTGCCCATATGAGGCGCCAGTGAATGCATTTTGGCACGGTGGGAGTTATGCGCGTGCGCGTTGTGGTCAGCGCATGGTGACGTCACCACACCCCAAGCCTGACGACGCGACACCTCCACAGAGCCGCACCTCATGTCCAAGAAAGCATAGAGTGACGATCTTGCAGTGGCCAAGGCACCAAGCTAATCAGGTCAACGAAGTAGGTGGTAAGCAGTTTCACAGATCAATAAAGACGGTAACCATAAGCTTTCCGTTACATACAGAGCTTTTGCAGCGGTATACCTGCCTCGTGGACGTCCTCCTCGTATGCTCTCCCTTTGTAGCATCTTCAGCCCCTGATACATGCAGTGAACACGCGAGTGTGTGCAAGGAAGACAGCTACCTACCACCCAGTGAGGTAAACAAATATACCAGGCAGAAAAACCTAATCCCCGCCTTCCTTAACTCTCTCTGCCCATCCGCACCAGCATCTCCCGCTTGCCCCAGCCTTTCCCCTCTCTCACCACCACCAACCAGCAATCCTCCAAGCAATACGCCGGCCTTCAGCGCGACGATGTCATCACAGGTGATCGACAGTCCAAACCCGGCGCCTCTGGCGTCACTCCTCCCAGACCATGTCATGGATCTTGGAGTGAGTCTCGAGAAGATAAAGCTGTCCAGCGAGGACCTCGCCGGCGTCAAAGAGTTCCAGAGCGCTGCTTGCTACATCGCCGCCGGTATGTCGCCATCCTAACTAGTATAGACATCAAATGACTGACTATCTCCAACCCGGCCATCAAATTTAGCCATGATCTTCCTTCGCGATAACGTGTTTCTCAAATCTGAGCTCAAATTCGAGCATATCAAGCCTCGCCTGCTGGGTAAGTGACGCGTATCGTGTTTTGTACTTGTCGAAATAGACGCGTTCCATGCAAGGTTCGTCTCCGTCCGCCATCAACTGGCGACTAACACTCGGTAGGACATTGGGGAACATGCCCCGGCCTTATCCTCATCTGGTCGCACCTCAACATCGTGATACGTGATCACGATCTCGACATGATCCAGGTTATAGGCCCTGGCCACGGCGCTCCCGCCGCCCTCGCCGCGCTGTGGCTCGAGGGCTCGCTCGAGAAGTTTTACCCGAACGAGTACACGCGCGATTCCAAGGGCCTTCGTAACCTCATCACCAAGTTCTCGGTCCCAGGCGGTTTTCCCAGGTATGTCGCTATTAGGTACCTCCGTCTTTGATGGGCGACAGATCAGGCCAGCTGACCGAACCTCTTGCAGCCACATCAATGCCGAAACGCCGGGCGCAATCCACGAGGGTGGCGAGCTGGGCTATGCCCTCTCTGTTTCCTTCGGCGCTGTCATGGACAAACCCGACCTGATCGTGGCCTGCGTTGTCGGCGATGGCGAGGCCGAGACTGGACCTACCGCTACTGCCTGGCACTCCATCAAGTATCTTGACCCCGCCGAATCTGGCGCTGTCATCCCAATTCTGCATGTCAACGGCTTCAAGATCAGCGAGCGCACCATCTTTGGCTGCATGGACGACAAGGAGATCATCTGTCTCTTTACTGGCTACGGCTACCAAGTCCGCATCGTCTCTGACCTTAACAGCATCAACAATGACTTGCACACTGCTATGGAGTGGTGCGTGTCCGAAATCAGAGGCATCCAGAGTCAGGCGCGCCGCGGAGCCGGTAGTGTCAAACCGCGCTGGCCCATGATTGTGCTGAGAACGCCCAAGGTTAGTTGCTAGTTGAGTTCGAGATACCGAAGCGACCCTCCCGCCCCGGCATCTACTCGAATACAAAGGGCCATGACTTACTAACCGTCTAACAGGGCTGGTCCGGACCAAAAGAGGTCGACGGAAAGTTCGTCGAGGGCTCGTTCCACTCCCACCAAGTCCCGCTTCCCAAAGCCAATTACGACGAGATTCATCTTGACAAGCTGGACGATTGGCTGTCTTCCTACAAATTCGACAAGATGGTGGTTAACGGCAGACCGAGCGAGAAGATCCTCCACACTCTGCCCAAGAATGCCGCAAAAAGGCTTGGCCAGATACCACTGGCAAACTGCCCCGAGACCTACCTGAAGCATGTCGACTGGCGTCCATTTGCAGTGGAATGCGGCAGCACCGAGAGCTCTATGCAAGTCTCGGGAAAGTTCCTGGACGTTCTTCTTCAGAGCAACCCTTCGCAGATGCGCATCTTCAGCCCGGACGAGCTCGAAAGCAACAAGCTCAACGCCGTGCTGGACCACACGCAGCGCAACTTCCAGTGGGACGAATTTTCACGAGCCCAAGGCGGACGTGTCATCGAGACGCTGTCGGAGCACCAGTGCCAGGGCTTCATGCAGGGATACACTCTCACCGGCGGCGCTGCCATCTTCCCAAGCTACGAGTCGTTCCTAGGAATCGTCCACACAATGATGGTCCAATACTCCAAGTTTACCAAGATCGGACGCAGCGTTTCGTGGAGGGGTGATCTGCCAAGCATCAACTACATCGAGACGAGCACCTGGACGCGCCAGGAGCACAATGGCTTCTCGCACCAGAACCCATCCTTCATCGGCGCCGTCCTGAACCTCAAGCCCGAGGCCGCGCGGGTCTACCTGCCGCCCGATGCCAACTGCTTCCTGAGCACGCTCCACCACTGCGTCAACTCCAAGAACTACGTCAACCTGATGGTCGGCTCCAAGCAGCCCACGCACGTGTACCTGACGCCGAACGAGGCCGAAGAGCACTGCAGGAACGGCGCGGGCGTGTGGCACTTTGCGTCGTCGCAGCGCGGCCTCGGCCTCGACTGCCACCCCCGGACCGAGTCGACGCCCGACCCGGACGTGGTCCTCTGCGGCATCGGCACCGAGGTCACGCTCGAGGTGGTCAAGGCGGCCGAGCTGCTGGGCCAGGTGTGCCCGGACCTGGCGGTGCGCGTCGTCAACGTGACGGACCTGATGGTCCTGTCGGCCCCGGGCAGCCACCCGCACGCGCTCTCGGAGGAGGCCTTCGCCGGGCTCTTCACGCACGACCGCCCCGTCTTCTTCAACTATCACGGGTACGCGACGGAGCTGCAGGGCCTGCTGTTCGGGCGGCAGAGCGCCTACCGCCTCGACGTGCAGGGCTACCAGGAGGAGGGCACCACCACCACGCCGTTCGACATGATGCTCGCGAACGGCGTGAGCCGCTTCGACCTGGCCGCCAAGGCCCTGCACGCCGCCGCCCGCCACAGCCCCGCCGTCTCGGCCGCCCTCCAGCAGGCCCTGGGCGAGGTCCAGCATCGGGCCGAGGGTGTAAAGGACCACATCAGGGTCCATGGCCAAGGTATGTGCCACGCATGTAGAGTTCCTGGGCTGCACCTGCTAACCGCCGACGTGCGCGCCATGCACTACCACAGACCCTGATGACATCAACGAGCTCCCAGCCTACTAGAGCTATGGCTGGGAGATGAACTCGGCCGGCTGGGCCCTCGGGTCGCCCTTCCCGACGGGGTACGGGATGGAGTGGTCGCCGGACTACTTCGACCCGTACCCCGTCCTACCGCTTGAGGAAGTCCTCAGCGAGAACTTCCTGGGCCGGCTGACGGTCGGCGACGACGGGGCGCTCGTCTTGGCCCCAGATCCCGACGTGCCCCTGCCCAGCATCGAGACCGACGACGAGGTCCCCTGGTAGGGGTACGGGGGGTTTTTTTTTATTCTTCTAGGGCGGCCTTTTTTTTTTATTTATGGCGGTTTTTAGCCCGGGTTTTTGGTCACCTTTTTTTTTGTAAAAAATAGAAAAATGTATATTTAATCCCAGTTCCAAGTCATGCCAAATTATACTGTAACCACTGGTTCCAGTCCCTATGTGAATATTGGCACGAAAACATCAGCGCTACGTCGATGCTCGTCATCGATCTTTTCAGTCAAGCTTCCGAAGATGGAATGGTGGCTGCACAATATGGGTGGCCCGGGAAACCCCACCCATACATCCACACGCCGAGCCACTGTTTGTGTTGCCCTGAAGAAAATTAAAGCATCGAAACCGGCTTAGCTAACATTGGCAAAGATGACAGCGTCAGCGCGCCCAGGTCAGATATATGGAATTCTTGTACGATGATTTGCTTAGGCCATTACTGGCTGCGGTGTCGCCGAATTCCACGACAAAGAACGATGGATATCTGCGTTGTCGAGGCCTGATCCCTGAAGAACAGCATCTTGGTTCGTTTCCGATCCCGATCCCAAGCATGGAGGCTTGGGGCTGAGAGGCCCTAGCCAGACTAGCGGGTTTAGTGCCCTATAGGGTTTTGGGCCACCATCCGAGAGCCGGGGCCGATGCAGGGATCGTCAGTGCTAGCTGTCAGCCTGGGGCTCCCTCACATCAACCCCTGTCACAAAGGAGGCTATCACCAAGGGCCGGCACACTGTTCCAGGCCTTGGCACGGGAGATCTGCACGGACACCTGGTAGATGCTTACTGAGCACTAGTCGGCAATGACGGGGTGCGGTAGTGAGTACCGCACCTGTATAAGGAGGGCACAGGGCCGAAAGCCCTGTCCCCGTCCTCTTTTCTTTTTCAGAGATCTAGATCAACATACAATAGACCCTATCTTGCACCGTTTGTCCGTCATAACCCCCGCTATATTTGTCGGGACCATTCCTCCGTGCAGCTAGGCCTTGATCAGACCTCGCCACTCTGGCCACCCCGCGTTTGCCATGTCGTTCTCCTCGTCCCCGCCACCGTTGGCCTGGGTCCCGGCGTGGCTGCCCTGGGCGATCGCGGCCGCCGTCGGCTACCATCTGCTGGTGCGCACGCTACACCACCTCCACGCCCGCCGCATGCGGGCGCGGTACCCGTACGGGCCGGGCCAGGAGCTGCCCTACTCGGCCATGACGGACCGCGACGCGCAGGAGCTCGTGGCGCTCGTGCAGCAGTACGAGTTCCCCTCGGTCGCCGAGCTGGCCCTGCAGTCGGCGCTGGTGCGCACCTACGGCGTGCCATCCATCTCGGCGCTGCTGTTGTGCACGCGGCAGCTTTCGACCCGCGCCCAGGTCGCGCGCCGCTACGCCGACACGGCCGCGCTGGTGAGCGAGATCTACACGAACGAGGCCGGGTCGCGCCGCCTGGCCGAGTCGTACGCGCGCCTCAACTACCTGCACGGCGTCTACATTAAGGCCGGGCGCATCACAAACGACTACATGCTCTACGTCCTAGCCCTCTTCATGAACCAGCCCGTCGACCACATCGACCGCCTCGACTGGCGGCCCGTCTCGGACCTCGAGCGCTGCGCCTACGGCGCCTTCCACCGCACCATGGCCGCGTCCATGAACATTGACCTCTCCCCGCTGCCGTCCGCCACCGCCGGCTGGCGCGACGGCCTGCACTTTTACGACGAGCTGGACGGCTGGGCGCGCGCGTACGAGGAGCGCAACATGGTGCCGCACGACGACAACCTCGCCGTGGCCGCCCACACGCGCGAGCTGTACCTGCGCGACTTCCCCCCCTTTCTGCGCGGGCTAGGCGCGAACCTGCTCGCCGCGTCCATGGACGAGCGCTTCCGTACCGCCATCAAGTTCGACCGGCCCTCGGCGGCCCACTACTCCATCGTCGCCGCCGTCTTCGCGGCCAAGCGGTTCGTGTGCCGCCACCTGCTGCCGCCGCGCCGGACGGCGTACCTGTACCACGCGCGCCTGGCCTCGCACGGCGACGTGCGCGCAGACGGGACCAGGGGGTTCGTGACGTGGACCGGCAGCCCCTATTATGTGCGGCCGACGCTGTGGAACCGCTGGGGCCCGTACGCGTGGCTGGCCTGGTCCGTCGGCGTGCCGCTGCCCGGCGACGAGGGCATGATGCCCGAGGGGTACACGCTCAAGGACGTCGGGCCGGACCAGTTCAGGGGCAAGGGGTGGGACGAGGCCGAGAGGACGGCGCAGGAGCTGGTGGAGGCGAGGTCCCCGGGGCGGTGTCCGTTTGCATGAGGGGCCCCCTTGCTCGAGGGGCATTCTCCACCACGCATTGTGTCCCCGTTGGAATGGAGTAATTATACGGCTCCGTATTTCCCGCTTTCAGGATGCTATCGCCTCTCTTGAATACAATCTCGAATATCAAAATACAATGCCATCGAACTTCTGTAAAAGAAACACTCTCCTGAGTCGTCGCCGTCATGACTTAGTCCCGCCATCCGCCGCACTCCACGCTCCTGACAGCCACTCCTCACAGCACGCGCAGCCGAGGCTCTTCCAGCGGCCCAACCTGTGCGTGTTCTCGGCGTGGAGCCTGCGCATGGCGCGGCAGATGACGAGCTGGTCCCAGACAGTCTCGAGGTCCCGCTCGAGGCTTTGGATATGCCGGTCGATCAGCTCCTTCTCGCCCTCGCCTCTCGGCCCCCAGAGGAGATATGAGTTGATGGACCTCAACTGCTCCTCCTCTTTCTCCTCAAGGCTTTGAATGTGCACGTCCAGCGTGGTTAGGTTCAGAGTCCACGCCGACGGGTGGAACTCGTGAAATGCCGGGGTTCTCAACCTCGATAGGGCTTCGTTTTCTTCTGCTTCGAAATCGAAACCTCTCCCTGCAGCTGATATCTCCCTGGCTCTAACGCTACGTTGAATCTGATATTCAAACAAGAAGTGGGTTAGCATGTTGCCAGGGATCGGTCAACAAAGGAAGAGACTGAGAGCTCTTTTTCCAGGGAAACACATGCAAAAGGGGAATATAATTACAATCAAATCATTATGGAGACGGATTTGGTCCACTAGGAAGAGCTGTGGCTTGTCTTCCTTGGGCGTTGGCTTTACGCCAGCAGGAAGCGTGGAACTCGTATTTCCCATTGCTGGGGACGATGTGTCTTCTCGAGTGATACAGAGGTGTCGTATGCCACGAGTGTAACCAAGCTTGCAACTCTCAACAATGGGTGGTGTTGTGAGTGTGAGAGCAAGACTTCAGTTTGAGGACCAATCCAGACCTCGGGTGCATAAGTGCTGAAGGACCAAGCATATTTATCACATTCGCCGGCCACCCATGAGGCAACAGGCTGACGGCTAGCAATCGGTGAGGCTGGCATCAGTCTCAGGTGTTGCCGCCAAGGGTTCAGTTGAGTCGGCGCTTGATATGCGCTGTCAGGCATGGCGATGACGTGGTGGGTGTTGATTGGCAGGTGTGTTTCAGGGCATGCAATTGGGCTGTTGCTGGACAGAGGATTTACTGCCCGAGTGCCTGCCTCGGGGTGCAATTGGCTGGCAGTTATGATAGGACCCCCACCGCCTGCCTTGATTGCCATGTCTTTAACCACCTTGGGCAAATGATAAATGTTGGATTCCCATCTCAACAAAGCCTGTTGTGGGGGCAGGTGTTCGCCTGACCGCCTTCTTGATCAGACGTTTCGCATCTCCATCTCGATTTCCCTGGGGCGGGTGTTCACGTGGCCGCCATTGCGGGCCAGTGGTAAAAAGAAGCACAGGTGACTGTGAGCTTCCAAATCGCCCGATGAACGGATGACACGAACTGGCAAGCATCAAACTTTGAGGATTCTTTCTGCTTGTTAAGGGCGGATCAAAATGCGGGGTGGCACGCCACACCGGCGAGGAGGTTGCGCGGGAGCAGCTACGATTTAAATGAACGCCATTCAAGGTCAAATTGCGACTCTGAACTATCGGCGCTGGGCAGGATCTACCGGGCCGGGCCGGGTGCTGTGGCGGACCTAGGAGGATCGAAAAGGACGCCACCTTTCACGGGTCTTGATGGGCATGAGGCAACATTTGTAACTAAACAAGATGGATAGTGACAAAGCGCAGCGGCGAGTCGGGGGCTCAAAGAAACACGGCTATGGAGACGATGGAGCAAGCGCTGCATGCACGCTTACTGACATTAAGCAAATCAAGCGGAGCAAAGGCAGGAGGGGTTCGGCGGGGCTTTGGGCCCGCGACTGCACCACAATCAGGGCACGCGATGCCAGGACTCTAGGCAGACAGACTTGGCTAGCCGTAAATGGGCGGATGTCGCGGAGATATTGCTGCGCCCAGAGGAGACGGGCCCAAAAGGATAGGTGGGTGGTCTCGAGAAGGATGGACGGCCCCATCCCCCAAGACATTGGCCCATCAATGAACAAAAGAACACCCAAGACCTGAAGACCTGGCGCACTGTCACGATTTCCGTGCCTCAGGCCAAGGTGCTTGGGAAATAAACCGGCCATAAAATATACGGTTGAATGCAAGCTTAGATAAATCACTTGTCATGGCGGTGGAGGGCCTGACAGCCAGCCTAAGCCGGAAGTCGGCACGCAAATATGCATGCCCTTGGAAGGCTTTCCAGTGGGGTGGTACTCGGCCGCGTTTTGAGATTACGTGGATAGACGCCACGTGCAAAGATGGGGAACAGGAGTGTGGGATAAGCTTACCACACCGCTTCTCGAGACGCCCAGCTAACGTGTCTTCAACAAAGAAGTTGAGCGTTGTCCGTTGTGCACACGAGGCTGCCTCGTTGTTAAAGGCCGGCCACAGATCCGGTCTCGGAGGATTTACAGAAACCCCTCGACTGGATGCTGACACTGCGCGACCCCACCTCCTCAGATGGCACAGTGCCCGCAGTCACTTCAGGCATGGCGTCAGGGACGCGACGACCTTGGGGGCTTGGCGTGCGGCACTTGGGCGCTAGAGGGCACATCGGAACTAGGGCCCGCGCGCGCAGCCTCAGACAAACTGAGGCACAGCCTTCGCGTTCCTGTGTTGCCCTGTTGGCGCTGGTGAAGATGCAAAGAGATGCGGTAGGTCCAAGGGCGCACGACGCCGCGTGACAACATGTACGTCTGACAAGTGGTCTTGGTCGGCTTCAGAGGCGCAAACAGACAGGGGTTTGCTACCCTTATTTTTCTTCTTTTTCTCTTATCTCGACTCGTTATTTCAATGCCGCCCAGCTTACACTGCGCACGCCTTCCATCATGGATGGCAGCAGGGGGTGGTCAAGAGTCCGAGAGCCAAGTCAATCGCCCCCACGCGGTTCCATGGTAGGATGGCCCGCTTCGATTTTCTATATCGGCACATGGAGAGGGTCCACACCAGCTACCATTCTCACAAGTGGCACTCCAACCCCGTTGGGCTTTCTCGCAGCCTCGACACATCCTTGAGCGGTTATACGGCAGCGTGGGAGAGGCGAGCGGGCGGCTGACCCGCATGCCGTTTCCAGGGTCGGCAGTGATGTCGTCTTATCCGCCTCCCTTTCTCGCTCTCTTTGTGTGTGTGTGCGTGTGTGTGTCCACTCCCTCGCTGCTGCTCAGGCCCACCCCTTCCTCGTGCTTCTCGAAATCCCCGAACCCCGCCGACCAAGCGGCTGGCAGCTCCCACTTTCCGAGGCCGGTTTGCTTGGCATGCCGCTTGCTAAGGTCTTGGCTCGCCGTTTAAAGTATGCTAGGTACCTACACGCATTTATTCCTTGAGTGCTTACCCACCTACATCCTCTGGGCAGTATCTACTGCCGTGCGCCCTTGATGGGGGTGGCAGAAGTCTCTGCTTATTGATTTCGATACGCGCATGAATCTGGAGTAATGGCCAAGACTGATGGTAGCCTACAGCATCCGTCTTTTCCGAGTGTGGAATCGACCAGCTCCCCTTTGTCTTGTCGCGCCCTCGGGTTTTTGGTTTTCTTCTTGTCCTTTTGTTCCTTTGGACCCTTTTCCGTCTGAAGGCTGCCACACACATTTCCCCCATTCTTCCCTCTGATAATCTTGGAGCCGGCTCCCAACCTCGACTGGGGAAAAGTCCCTGCTGATCTCTCTGGGCACCTGTCTTGGCCTGCCTGCCATCTTCCGCTTGTGTAAGGGAACTGGACCTCACCATCGACAGACCCAAAGCGGTCACTGCCCGAGGTACTTTAGCCGGCCCGCCGCCCTGCGCCCTGCGCCTCGCGTGTCCGTCTGATAGTCGGAAAGCTTGCCCGACGCCCTGGGTCCTCCCCGCCAAACCCGCACTCGAGACCTGCTTTTGGCCCGAGTCAGTCTGAAGCCCGAGGATAACGACTGGCGGCCTGCGCACCGTGGGGAGGCTCGGACCAACAACCTACCCTAATTCGTCCTCTATCCCGCACATAGTGGCCGCCAGAAACAAGCTGCCCGCCACCCGCATCAGAGTCCTGCCTGGGTCATGGCCGAAGCAGTATCAATGGCGGCGGCGGCACTGCCAGAATGGCGGAGTGGTCGTGCCTTCAAAGTGCCCGAATGGATTGAGCCCACGGTAGGTCGTCAAATTTTCGGCACCGTTCTCGAGCCGACACTATGCCATGTTGCGATAGTGCTTTGGTCACGCCGCGGCGGTGACAAGTGACCAAGCGTTGGCCGCTAGGGACGTCTTTGCCGGTTCCTGGAAGTATGCCTGCTAACAGATATGCCGCCGCCCTTTTAAACAACAGTTCATCGTTCTCGTTCTCTTCGGGTCCATGTACCTAACAAGGAGGAGGAACTACCCTGTCTTCAGGAGCTCGAGCGGCAACTACCCTTACGAGCGGGTAGCAAACTCGGCGGCCACGTCGCCAGCGCAGCTGTCACCCCGGACCTCGACCGACTACTCGGACGACGACGGTGGCCTGCTGTCGGCCAGCTCCCTGCGACCAATCTCCCCTGCGGCCGAGCTCCGGCGCGCGGCGCGCAGCGGCGAGAACCCCCAGCACCCGCCCAAGACGCGGCGAGTGCTCGGGGTGTGGACGGTGACGACGCCCAACTCATCGCGGTTCGCCGGCCACTGGCACAGCCGCGTGCTGCAAAAGTTCCCGTTCCTGATCGAGATGTTCTACTGGATCGTCACCTACATCTTCTACCGCCTGACCGCGGTCCTGTCGCAGGTCTGGTACGGCGGCGTCAAGGGCCTCTGGGACGTGGCCCAGGACCACGGTATCGCCCTGCTGGAGCTCGAGGCCGTGCTGTTTGGCCCCCGCGGCGCGACGGGCACCGAAAGGTGGATGGAGTGGAGGCTGCAGCAGTGGTTCCTGGCCGGCGGTGACACGCTGGACTGGAGGGGCATCTGGCTGATGGTGCTGAACCGATCTTATGCCCTTATTCACATCCCTGGAACTGTTTGGTACGTTTGATTGCTGGAGAGACGTTTCGAAGCTAGCGCCGGGCGTCCGTCACCCGAACAGCTGCTCTTTCGCTGTTACGTCTAAACTAACCATGTTATCCTCAACAGCTTCATCGCGTACTACTACTGGGCGGCCCCCAGCCACACACGGTTCGCGACGGTCCGGCGCACCATGACGCTGCTCAACCTCTTCGCCTTCTTCACCTTCATCATGTACCCCTGCATGCCGCCGCGCCTGCTGCCGCGCGAGTTCGGCTTCGTCGACACGGTCAACGCCGAGGACGCACAGTCGGCGTGGATGAGCGGCAAGTACGTCAACAAGCTGGCCGCCATGCCGTCCATGCACTTCGGCTACGCCTTCGCCATCGGCTGCGTCTTCGTCGTCGAGTCGGGCGTCCTGGCCGGCCTGCGCCGCCGCGCCGACGGCGTGCTCTTCGGCTACAACACGTGCGACCTCGAGGGCGGCGACGCCCGCCACGGCGTCCTCAAGTGCAATGTGGACGACAGGCCCCGCCTCGACACCGCCCTCGCGGCCACCGGCGGTGTGTACACCCAGGGCCGGTACGACGTCGAGGCGCCGCACCGCCGCCCGCGGTGGCTGAGGCTCTTCTTCTTCGTTCTGGGTGTGTGGTACCCGTCGTGGATCCTGCTCTGCATCATAGCGACGGGCAACCACTATCTGCTGGACGCGGTCGCGGCCGCGGGCGTCGTGCTGCTATCGTACCTGTGCAACCGCGTCCTCTTCGTCTTCATGCCAGTCGAGGACTGGCTGCTGTGGGCGCTGCGGCTGGAGAAGCCGGTGCCGACCACGGGCTGGGTCAAGCGCGACAAGGGCCGCTCCATCCGCTGAAGTTTACATGGCGATGCATGGGCGTTCTTGCGGAGTTTGCCATGATGATGCGCTTGGTCTCCTTGTACATGTATACAGCTAGCGAGCGAATGCGGCAGCGCAAGGGTACATGTCCTTGAATGTCTAGGTATCTGTACTGATATCCTGCCCCAGGCAGGTCTGGCTAGTTCTCTACATTGGTGCGTAATTCGGTACGATTTCAGCACACATCGCACACTATCTACGCTCTTCATGCGAATAGCTTTGCATGTAAACGGATTGTCATGCGATGGGCATCATGGCGGTCTTTTGAAACGCGGAAGGAATGGACATTTGTGAAACGGACGGACATATGCATCGTGACGTGGCGTTGACTCGCGGGTTGGATGACGCGACCGAACCCCGCTTGATCTAAGTCTAACGTGAACAAGCCTCCATGAATAAATGGAAGCTAGTTTGTCTCTGGCAGCACATGTATTGGTAGGAAGACTGCCGCGTCTGCCAGTTTTCTTTTGAGCTGACTGCACTCCACCTTTATCCTTACATATACTTATCTCGGATGAGACCCATGCAGTAGTGGCCTTGGGACGGGCGAGCTTGGAACCATGCAGATGGCCGTGTCTGTCGTTGAAGAGATGGCCCGTGCGAACAAACCGGGGTGATTCACTGAGAATCGGCCGAGCGCTCATACTATCGAGGCCGGGCAAGAACCACACGACTGGGACTGACAGTATCTTTATTGGCTTCGGCCGGACCACTGGTTCCTGACGATCTCGACCTTTCACAACCCGGTTTTGAGACCCAACCAGACAGGGGCCAGTCGTCAAGGTCCCTTGCATGGGAGCTTGGGCCTTCATCGAGCTCCAGGCAGGACCACACACAACACCAAGCCACAAGCCACAGATGCAACCTCGACGAAAGCGGGAGAAATTGCCCTGACAACCAGCACGATGGGGCACCTAGTGAGCTCCAATCAAGGTCGCGGCGCAAACCTAGGGAGGAGTTCGGAGTAAACTGAGCACCAAACGCAACGCGCGATCCACCACACGCCCTCACTGCCTTTCTCACAATTGCACCTGTAGGGCTTCCAACACTCTTTCCACGCGTTGCTTCATTTTCTTGAGTCAATCGGCGGTCAATTGGTCCATTCTCCCGGGATCCCTTTGTTTTTCTTGTTGCGATCGCTGCCTGGACGGCTCCAACCAGTCGCGTTGTGCAATAAACATTCGCTGGGCCTTTCTGCTCCGCTCGTCCATTTTTTGACAGCCGTCGCAAACTCCCACAACCAATCACATCCCATTCATCACAATGGCCGATCCCGGCCCTGCCGAGAACATTATCGAGGAGTCGACAGCCAACCCCACCCCTGACGTGGACATGGAGGGCGGCGAGGCCGCGGCCGCCGCTGACGATGAGCCCGCGGCTCTCCCCTACGCCGGCGAGGAGGGTCCTGAGGAGACCGCGCCCACCCGTGTGCCTTTCATCAACTACCTTGGCAGCCCCGTCGTGACGATAACAGCCGGCATCGATGAGAGCGAGACCATGCTCACCGCCCACCAGGCCCTGCTTGTCCAGAGCCCGTGGTTCGCCGAGACTTGCGCAGAATTCCCCGACGATGGCTCTGTAAGCGCTGCCGCAGCCGGACCCTGCCTATAGAACGCGTTTTTGCTAACCTGCCCCCTCACGGACCCAGCCCCGCCACGTCGACCTAACCGGCGACGACGTCGATGCCGTCGGCTGCTTCCTCGAATTCCTGTACACGGGCGACTACTTCCCGCGCAAGGTGGCGGGCACGCGGCAGCTCGAGACGGACCCGTCGCTCCCGCACGTCGACGAGTCGGGCGACCAGCTGCTCAAGCACGCGCGCGTCTACACGCTGGCCGAGAAGTTCCAGATGCCCGCGCTCCGGAACCTGGCCTCGTCCAAGATCCACTGCGTCAACTCGACGGCCAAGGGCGAGATCGCCTACGCCCGCTACGTCTACCAACACACCCACAACGACGACACCGTCATCCGCGCCCCCGTCGCCAACTTTTGGGCCACCCGCTCCCACACCCTCCGCTCCGAGGCCGAGGAGGAGTTCCGCGGCCTGTGCCTGGAGTTCCCCCAATTTGGATACGACGTGCTCAGTGAGTCCCGCCCGGACATACCATCGCCCCCCGCCACCAAGTGTCATGTTGCTAACCCACCACCACCACCGCCACCACAGCCCGCGTGCTGGACGAGAAGCTCAAACGCGAGCAGTCCAGCAAGATGCACCCGGCCGGCGGGAGCGCGCGCAAGCGCCCACGCCACAGCCAGGTCTAGACGGCGTGGGCTTTCTGTACTTATATCATCTTTTCTGCCATATATCCTGCTTGCGGCCGCCAACCGCACCGACCAGAAGGCCCTCGGTGTCCAGTCGAGGCCGAGGAGGCCCCCATTGGACTGGGCTTCCTCGCGCGGGCGCAAAATCTTTCACTTGTACTTATAGGATCGAAGGGCCGGGCCTGTCGTTTCCCTGGACGGCGCACAGGACCGGGGGAAACGGTGGACCCAATCTGGCAAACAGGAAACGGGTCGGAATGTCGGAATAAAGCGTCCATTTTGCTATTTATCAGTCTGGCCCACGCCTGCGCCCTCCTTCGTGCGCTGCTATCGTGTCAAGTTACAGCAGCTGGTCGAAACCAGAGCTTCCTTTGCATCGCTGGTACCCTCGAAACATGCTTTGGCAATGCCTTCCCATTTTCAGATATACTGCTGATGAACCAGGTATAAGTGACACCTCCATCCTCACCAACAGGACATCGGATTTTTGTCGAACCTCCGAGGGCGGATTAGGCAACGCTGGAACAACCATATACGAGGAAACCCTCCTTGAGCCTGTGCTGCCCGTTCCGAGTGTTGTTCGTAACCCAGTGAAGCACAGTCGTTTTGACCTTGGCCGCTTCGTGTTCGATGGGCTCGTCGCCGCGGCCCCAGGTGAGGTCTTGGAGATGGGCGATTCGGAATTTGGACTTGATCGATTTCAGCTTGGCCCAGGCCAGAATTTCGGTGGCCTTGTCGAGTGAAGGCTAACACGACCGTTTCTTGCCGACGGGGTCTTGCAGGTCTCAGGATTTCTATCTTAAGGACCAACCCCCTTCTCCAGATGGTGGTGCCGGCATTGCGCCGCCACTTCTTGCGCGCCACCATCTTCCTTGCAATCACGTCGGCCGACTTGGGCCACATGGACTGGGTACCCATCACCATCCTGTGGCGTTGGGTCCCACCATTGTCGCGCAGGCCGCTGGGCTTCCTAGAACGGGGACTGTGACGGCCGACCTCGACCGATGGTCGACGCAGCCCAGTCCAGCCCTCTCATCAGCACCGTGTTGAAGATGTAGCCAATGACGCAGCCAAGGACAAAGGCGCAGATGAGGACGTCGCCGGTGTCATAATATGCTCGCTGGTCTGGCGGGCTGGTGGCGGCGGCGGCTTGGTCGGCGGACGCGGGTTCGGTGAAGCGGACCCTGCGTCGACAGCGCCTCTGCGAGTCCAGAGACTCGGGCAGAGGCGCCAGCATGTACCGTTTCATACCGCGCATCTTGCAGCTAACTGGGTAGTTTGTGGGATCCTGTGTGGTTGATCCAAGGAGTGTTTTCGGGATGGCTGCCTCGGTTGCAAGAGAAGAGCTCCAGAGAACCGGGCTTGGGCAGGTCAGAGGACCGGGTTCTTATGAGCCAGTGGTCTATCACTCAAATGCGTTTCCGAACAGAACAAAGGAGGATGGAAGCAGACGTGTGTTTCGGCTTCAAGATGGGAAACAATACTAACACCCAGCAGCCTAGCACTAGCGAGATTCGCCATTCACGTCGTTCCTTCGCACAAAGGACAAGTCTGGATTTTCGTCCTAGTCAGCTCGTTTTCGAGCTTTTTGGCATATCGGCTTAGGGAGGAAGAGACATTCAAGCCGGCTGTGGATGGGATCCTCCCAGGCAAGACAGTGGTCGAGACATTTTAAAATTAATTTGTAGGTCTGAAATCGGCATCGCCCATCATCAATGCCCCCAATTAGGTTCCTGCCTGCTTTCGTATAATAGCCTTCGGCAGATGTGAAGGAAGGCCCAAGAGTGGAGAATGGCGACCCTTCTCCACATCAAAATGTGAGCATGACGACATATTACTGCCCCGCGTAGAGCTCCGTCTCGTCTTGAACCTCAGCTACAACAGAATGTGTCGCTACGTGCTCAAAATATGGCCTCAACAGTCTTACATAGAATAAACCAGTCCCCGGGCATCGGCCTGCTGGCCGTGTTCGAGGCTCAAAAGCAAGGGGCGGAGCATTCACCACCACCCATCACGGCCCCACCCGAAACGGTGAGGTTTTTCTACTCTCTCTTTTCGTCTTGTATAATCCAATCCCACGCAAAGCCGACTGCAGTCCCCAATGCCTTTCGCGTGAGCAGCGCACCTTGCTGACAGCAAAACACCCAATCGCCAGGCCGGAGAGGTCAAGGCCCTCTGCGACTCCTTCACCCTCGCCTCCTTCACGGCCGAGGATGCCTGGGAGCTCGGCCACCTCCTGTACGCGCGGCTGCTGCCCTTTGCCGCGCAGGGGAGGCCGACCGTCATCTCCATCGCGCTCGCCAACAGCGGCCAGGTGGTGTTCCAGGCCGCCGTCGGCGCGGGCACGGCGCCCGACAACGAGACGTGGGTGGCGCGCAAGCGCGCGACGGTGCTGCGCTGGGGCTGCAGCACGTGGCTGCTGCGCTGCAAGTACGGCGCCGACGAGGAGCTGTTCCGGTCCAAGTTCGCGCTCGGCCCGGACCAGGGCGGCTGCTACGCCATCCACGGCGGCGGCGTGCCGATCCGGGTCCGCGGCGTCGAGGGCGTCGTGGCCGTCGTGGTCGTGTCCGGGCTGAACCAGCGCGAGGACCACGGCGTGATTGTCGAGGTCATCAACAGCAACTGGGCGCCGCAGTGACGACGGATGGCCTGCTTCTGGCCTTCTTGAGATGATCGATGGGCCTACTGCGACGTGAAGCATGGTACGTGGAACGATACCTCCCTTCGCCGCGGGGCATTGATGGAGCTGAAACCGCATATCTTGTCCTATATAATTATTTTACAATCCACCATAGCCCTCTGCGGATACTATGTCCCCCGAAGTGCTCTGTACACCCAACCACTCTTGTCCTTCTCCAACCCATGTAGTGTCTACTCGTCCGGCCGCCAGGGCTGATCCGGGACCAGCGTGACGACGGTGTTCCGGATAGGGGTCGTGATGGGCTGGAGGTAAGTGATGAAGGTGGTGACCCGGGTGGGCCGGGGGTCATCGATGGTGACGACCGTGGTGATGGTGCGCGTGACGACGCCAGGACCGCCCGGGTTGTTTCCGGGCGGGCCGTTGTGGTTGGGGTAGTTGTTGGGCACGCACTGTTGGTACCACTCACTGCGGCCGGAAGCCGGTCAGCGCTATCCAAAGTATCCTTGGGGTGGTGGAACATCGAGACCGAGGACTTCACATACTTGCCGTCGAACCTGCAGTAGGCTCCAGTAGGACAAGCCACGGCGCCGGCGTATGTGCGCCCTCCGCCTTGGAATCGCGGTTCGCGTTAGCAAAGCGTCTCCTCACACCCTCTCCGCCTAGGAGTGGGAGATGGAAGGTCTCACATTGTCCCCATGTGCTCTGTGTCGCGCCGTACGGAGGGTTGGGGGGCTGCGCGTTGTTGTTGCCGCCCCCATTGTTGTTGCCACCACCGCTGCCTCCTCCTCTCTCTCTTCCCCTGCCCCATTGGGCGAGGGTACCAGGAAGGAGAGCGGAGAGCGCGATGAGCTTGATCTGCATGATCAGGAGAACAGACACCTATGTGAGTAGTAACAAGACAGAGGGGAGAGCTTGGGCGTCTCCTGACAAAGCTTGCAGCGGCTGGTTGCGGTGATGACTGGTCAGTACAGTTGTGAGAGCCGATCCTTGCAAGCCATGGGGAGAAGCAGGAACGCTTTATGTGTCTGGGAAGGCCGGACATAGCCAGTTCCCTCGTAGCTATCAGGAACGTATGCCGGTCCATAAACGGTATCTTCACTCGGGCCTTTGCGGTTCCTAAAATAGGGTTTAACCTGGGAGTCAATAAACCCAGAGCCCGAGAGGTGCTGCCAAGCCACGCGAGGATTTGCTGCCATGCACTGCGGTGTGCCCATGCAGGAGGGGAGACATTATGGTTCGTCGTGCCAGAATCGAGACCTGGGCTGCTAATTATAGCCACAAGCCTGGTGCTCAGCTAATATAAAATGCTACCTAGACGCCACGGGCACAGATATCCACTACTATCGAGCCAGGCCATCCCTTCTAGCCCTTGTATATCACCGCACCTGTACCTGGCTCGATATTGTTGTGTGGGCATGCGATGCCTCTGGGACCAGTCGCTTCTGGGTCGCAAGTCTGGTAGCGAATGGTCCAATAGATGAGAATTTGCCATCCAGGCGTGCGCCTCCGGGATGGAAGGCTGGCATGCGAGCGAAGCTTGCAGAGATCAGACGCCCTGGTATGCCGGCGCAGCTTGCCGAGCCGTCCGTACAGGTCGATCGTTGGAGGCTAGGCGCGACTGAAATGGCGCGGCCGTGGCCAATTAATTTGAGAACCGCGCAGCGCCAGTCCGTTGTATCCAGTAGGGCATCCCTTTTCGTCGCTCTGGGCAGTGTTTCCATGTTTTGAGGGCTGTTGTCAACGGTCTGGTCTGCATGTCTTGTCTCGGGCCAGGTTCCGACGGAGAGCTTTCCGCCTCGTGGCGGCCTAAACTGCAACAAGGGCGACGACCGACTACCCCGGGACTAGACACGGAAGCCAGGGGGTATTAGACCCAACCGCTTCTTCGGACAGGCCGGTACCCAGATTCCCACGGACCCGCCTGTCTCGACCCATGGCTCACGGCTTCTCTCGAGCGTTAGCAATCAACAGCGGCCCGCCAAGAAGCGGACCGGACATGTGCTTATGCGGGCGGCTTGCGGGATGCGTCCAGTCAACAGGCTGATTGTCCGGCTAAGACACCCGGCGTTCGGGTCAGGACTTCAGGTCTTCGGCTGACGGGTAAAGAGGCAGACACAAGGTCACCTGCGCTGAGGCTATGACACCGAGGCCACCCGCACTGATGATGGTGATTGAGAGATTGTGTTTATATTTGACGATGAAAACCGGCCGCCAGTGAACCCGTATCTCGAAGCTAAGCTCGTATAAGATCTAGATACTGTATAGTGCGGCTGTCTGGTGCTGAAGCTCGAGTCACTATTCTAGGATGCTTCTGGGAGACTTTGCGTCGAGGGGGGGTGTGAGGTGCTTTGTAGCTAGTGCGGGATCTGGCGGAGGGGTGATGGCCAACAAGATCAGGGATATGGGTAGAGAAGAGCTCGGGAAGGTCTGGCTTTCCTCGTAGGTCTCGCCTGCGAATTCCTCGTCGTCGAGTGTCGTATTGGTGCTGCTGGTGGCTGCCAGATAAGCTTCTTATGCCCTAGCGTGGACATATAGCGTCGTATACTCGCCTGAGCTGTGCCCTCGTCCGCTCGATCAGGGAACCAACCCTCGAAAGGCTTGGCTCTTGATCTGGCTTAGACACTGTAATTATGTCTTGACTTGGTATATATCGAGAATCTGCACCCACTGCATTCACGTCTGGTTAGCCATGGGTAGAGGTCGATGCTGCAGGACTCGTCAAGGTAAAAATGGCCGAGACACGGCGATAGTGGTAAGATGATACGCGGGAAACCGCCGACATGGACGCTGAGCCCATGGCCTGTGGTGATCTCGTGGGTTGACCAACGCCTTGCTCATATCTTGTGTGATGAGGGCCATGTTCAGAGGTCTTTGGGGAGGGTCGTTGGAGGCATGGACATGCTTGGAAGGGAGCGTCATGCGGTCCCAAATCACGATACTCAAGTCGACCGGGAGAGCGAAAAAACAGACACGGGGGGATGGGCGTGCTCAAAGGGACTCTTGGGTGTGGTGTATGAAGGATCGCGCGAGTTGGGTCTGGGTCATGTGCACGGGTAGGTGGTTCGCTGCGACGCGCCAAAGTTATCGCCCCACAGCGGCTCAATTGGGCCCATCTCGAACATGAATTCCTCAACTCAAGCATCTAGGTACACATCCAGTCGCTGATAGGACATATCACCTATAGCATCAGATCAAGCATGGGTATCTATCAGGCGGGTCTAGGAAACCAGGAGTTGGTCCAGCCGAAGCTCGAGAGTCACTATGGCCAGCGCAGGGCCACGCAGAGGGGCACCAAAAGGGGTAGATTCAATAGTCCAACAGGCTACCGCGATGAGATGAAACGCCTCGGGCATAGTTGCTCAATACTAATAAATACGGTCTACTTTACAAGATATAAATATCGTACACGGGGCTCAAAGGATATCGTCCAAGCACCACAAACCCACACATGAACAATACACTCGGGCAGATGCCGCAGTCGGGTCCGCCGCCCACTTGGACGGAACTGAACCTTCACAGCAGCAGACAAGACGAGTTCCCAAAGGACCCGAAAAGCCCAAGAAGCTCCGTCTACAGCAGTAGACGAGCGGCAACCTGCACGGCAATGGCGCCGCTCCTGACGGTGCCTCCGCCCAACGCCGCAGCAGCAGCGCCAGTCACGGGCGCGGCAGGGGTGGCACCAGCGACCGCGGCGGGCGGGGGCGCCTCCGCAAAGGCAGTCGCAGCGGAGGTCTGCTGCTGCTAGACGGACGTGGCGGCCGGGGCCTGGGGCGATGGCGTGGCGGCGCCGGGCCCCGCGGGCGGCAGGACGGCGGCGCCGGTGACGGTGGGCGGGGCGGTCGAGTGGAAGGGCCGGGGGCCCGGGGAGACGCTAGAGCCAGCGGGGCGCGGCACGGCGGCAGCGCAGGCCTGCAGCCTGGCGTTGGTCGAGGCGAACAGGTCGGTGAAGCGCTGGATCGTGGCCGGGGCCGGGTACTTGGCCTCGGCGGGGAACTTGGCGGCCACCTCGGTCATCAGCTTGCCGACGCCCTGGCCTGGCAAAGGGGGGCGGCGTTGATGATGTGGTCAGTCTCTCTGCTTGGGTCTTTGGCTCCTGCAGGGTTGGACACATGGTGGGCCAGCAAGAGCACTTACCAATCTCGTTGACGCAGTTGTAGATGTCGGAGCACATGCCCGACGACGTAAAGTTGACCGTCTGGCTGACGACGCGGCCCAGGAGCCCTTCACCCGCGACGCTCAGGCGCTCGACCAGGGGCGCAAACTGGGTGGCTTCGGCGGCGGAGGCGACGGCGGTGGTATTGGACACTCGGGCGCTGGCGCCGCGGACGGCCTCGACCGTGTTGTAGCCCGTCTCGGCGATGGCGGTCAGGTCCGCGCCGCCCTGGTACTGCAGCATGGCGGCGTCGAAGAGCGAGATCTTCTCGAGCACGTCCGTCAGCGCCAGGTTGATGGTCGCCGCGTCGCGGCGGCCGAGCCTCGGCGAGGAGCACGTCGACGGGGCGGCGAGGCCGGTGCCCGCGAGGGCAAGGCTCGCGACGAGGGTGCTGGTGAACTTCGTTCTGGCGGCGTTAAGGAAGCGAAGGTGTCAGGTGTGAGAGGGGAGGAAGCTGCGACGCGAATAGCGAGAGTGTGAGAGCGAATGTGGTGCGTCGAACTGGAGAGGTTGGTGTCCAGACCGCTTGTCGTGCTCGCCGATCTGAATAGAGAGATACGGAAGCAAGACAAGATGCCCACCACATGGATTTATATCACATGACTCTCCGGAGTCCCCAACGTCGTCGTGCGGTACTCAGGCCCATAATCCCGATAGCCTGCGTTGCTGAGATGGAGCTCTCACCGGACTTGTTGTCCTTCACAGGGTCCTTGGCGGTGCGGCGCTGCATGCTCCCATCCTAGCATAGGGCTCCCTATCAGCCGTCCATCTCCGCAAACTGGCGCGTGGAAGATGGCCCGCCACCTGTCTGTGGGAGTAAATGCGAGACGCATGGCTCTGCAGGTCCGCTAGTGCTCCTCTAAGCGCTAGCGACAGTATTCTCCTCTGCCGACGTGGCGCAGAGACGGTAAGCTTGCGCTCCCAGACCCCCTTTGGCGCGTGCGCCGGTTCGCGCCAACAGCTTGCCGTGGGTGAATATTGGGCCTGGGAGTGGACTGGAGAAATACGTGTGCGGTTGTGGCGTTGTCGAGCTTGGCAATGGCATGCATCGAAACCGGGGAGGAGACTTTCCATGTGTCTGAATATCCTTGCATCCCTCCAAGCGCATGCGTAGTCTGATCAGTGGGTGCTGACAATCCAGGCACTGCTTGCTTCGAGAACGTCCACGGTTTGTCTGGGCAGACAAACCTTTCCACGCCCGCTCCTCCAGTCAAAATGTCCAACATCTAGCCGCTCGAGTACTGGCACGGAGATCCGGCTCGAGGCCTTTGTGTATTCTCTCCTAGGTTTAGGTATACTTGAGCTTGACTCAGGATATGGGGGTGGCGTCCAGAGCTCAACTTCGTCAGCCCTCCCGATCTTATCCGCATGTGCTCGGCCGAGAGATGGTGTCCCGAGGAGTCTGGGAGGCATTGTGTCAGTTGGCTGCACAAGACGGCTGACGAAATCTCGCACCCTGCGGTCCCTAGGTTTGATGCTAGGTAACCATGTCCTGATATAGTAGCCATTAGGCAGAGATCAGTAACAGACAGGGACGAGCAGCCAGGATGCAGAGTCAATGGGTATGACATTTGAGGCAACCAGTCTGGAAGTGTCTGCAGGCGAGATGGCCCAATAAGTTGACCCAGATGTAGAGGAAGGGGCGTACCGAGTATCCTGGAGATCTGGCTCTTCAGGACGCGACCCAGGCCGTGATCTTGGGCATGGTGATTGGTGCTGGATGATCAAATTGCCGAGGCGCGCTCTTGAAAAAAAAAGTGGAAAGAGGTGCAACCCGTTGACAAATGGTTTTTGTGGCGAACAAAGAGAAAGCTCCCTCAGCACGTTGGGTCGCCGGAAGTCAGCGGAAGGAGGTGCGGGGCCATTGAGGCGCCTGAACCGCCACCAAAATATCGGATGCCAGAAAGATATCAATTCTTAGCCACGGATGTTTTATTGTTCACTATCTCCGTCTCCTTAACTCGACCGCGTCCAAAAAAATTACACCCAGTCAGGTATTTATGATGTTGAAGTCGGCGGCGGCTGCTGTGTTGTGGCGGTCGTGATGGTACTACTGCTACTGTCGCCACCACCTCCACCACCTCCGCCACCGCCCCCTCCACCCCCTCCGTTTCCGCCCCTGACCACGACAGCCTGCACGACCTGGCCCAGGGCGTTCGTGATGACGTTGACGAGCGACCCGAGCTCCTCGTACTCGTACGTCTTCTGCACCAACCCGTTCTCGAGCGTCTTTTGCTGGCCCGTAAAGGTCATGTTCTGGGTGTAGCTGCCCACGATGGTGCTGACTGTCTTGCCCGCGGCGCCGACGGTCTCCTGGATGATATGACCGAGGTTGTCGATGATGAAGTTGAGCTTGTTGTCGCCCTGCAGGATGGACCCCAGCAGGCCGTCGACGGCGCCGACGACGGCGTCGATCAGGTCCCCGACCTCGTTGAGCACGTTGACGAGCAGCGGGTTCAGGTCCAGCGTGTGCAGCGTGCGGTTCACAATCTCGACCAGGTGGCCCAGCCGGATGACGAGCTCGAGCTCGGCGTTGACGTCGGCGATGGTGATGTTGACCTTTTTGATCCCCACCTGCACGCCGGCGTTGATAGACACGAGGCCCGCGATCTCGGCCGCGAGGTTCACGTCGGCCCGCAAGTTGTCCACGTCGAGCTCGATGCGGCCGACAGACAGCTCGGGCACTTTAAGGTGGACGTCTGGCGGGCCCCTATTGGAGTCGGTGCCGCCGCCTCCTCCGCCGCCACCTCCTCCGCCGCCACTGCCGCCGCCGCCTGTAGATGTGCTTGTTGGGGCAGAGGTAGTGCCAGTGGAGCCATTGCTTGTGGTAGGGGTGCCGGTGGATGTTGGCGGGGGCGGCCCTGTCGATGTAGAGTCCTGCGCAACTGCGAAGGACAGGAGCAGCAGGAAGCTCACAAGGAGCGAAATGAGGCCGTTACTGCGCATATTTGATGGATAGAGCTGGCTTCCGTTCCACCATGTGCAAGCAAATAACCGTTCTACTTGTAGTTGCCTGTCGAACGGATATGTCTGCCTCTGCTTTGACACGAGGCCTGGGGGAAAGGGTGCACAAGGTGAGAGAAGGAATCCCGAATCGACGAGGGAAAAGCGAGGAGATGTGTCCGATGAGGGTGGGCTAGTCGTGTCGCCGATGCGCACCCAGATGGGATGCGTGCGTTATGCTATCACATCGTTATAACCCCTTTCCCTGCCACCGGGAGAACAGGACAGAAAGCCCGAAATGAGACCCAACGGAAAGCAAGCAGGGCCAACTTCTCCTCTCCTCAGTGTCGTCATCGTGGGCGGTGGGTTTGGACTGGACGTTCTCGAAGGTGTGCCGGATGGGGCATGTGGCCGAAGGTAGCAACGAGAGCATGTCTGCTAATGCCAGGGGTTCGATGATATGTCAAAGATCCATGGCAGCGTTTCCAATCTCTTCCCCCATCGTCTGTTAGTCTCGCTCGCGAAGGGTACGTTGGCACGCCTTTGGATGCGGAAGAGGAGCCTCTGAGGAGCCGCAGTGCCGTCCAGATAATGGAAATGGCGCTAGTTTCCAAGGAATAGGCCGCTTGGCGTCGGCCTCTCAACCGTGCCTTGGGCTTGCCAGGTACCATCTAGAGTAGAATAGCTGGTGGTGTGCGTGGGCAGCTCCGCGCACGCGGGGTGGCGCCCTTTGCCGGTCTCTGTTTGGCCTAGAATGCTTGGTCTCTTCACCAGCATGCAGGAGATGCAACGGCTTCCAACTAACAAGGAGATTACGTCTTGATCTTTGCTTCTGTGTGCTCGAGGAGGTGTCGGCTGTTTGATGGTGTTGCGGGGTTGCATTGGCGCCAGGGCAGGGAGCGGACGCGAGCTGAGGACGGGAAAAGATCAGCGGCTCATCGTCCAAGCTGCCATGCGTCGGAAAGGAGGAAGCTGTTCTCCACTGCTCCACACCCCCCTCCGCCCTGAAAGTGGGCTTGTGGACTCAAGTGGGTATCTCGGATGGCCGGAGATCGGCGAGCGGCTGGGTGGGCTCTGAAACCCGCTCTGGAAGCTCAGCCGAGCCACTCACATCGAGGCTAAGCACTCATGGGAGGAGACTTCGCTCCGGGGCGTTGCATCAGCGATGAGCTCGGGCTGCTAACCGTGGGGTGGGGAATGATAGCAGCATCAGAAATCCGGCTTGACCTTTTGCTCAATCATCAAGCCCCACCTAGCCATAGCCACCCGCCTCCTGGGTAAAGTAACATCGTATATTCGTCACAGCAAATACAAATGCACCTATCCCAGATAGGCATACAGCACCCATGCCCGGACCAAAATGGTCAATGAGGCAATGCCCGCCTCTCGCTCATGCATGCAGCGCAGCAAAGAAGCAAGTGCAGACCAGGGGATGCTCCTCTCGGCGCCTGGCAACAGGGAAATGATGCATCCCACACCACTGCTGATCGATCTGGGTCAGGTTTTGCGATGGCCGTTGCTGCGATGAAATGAGGGGCCGGCCAGCCAAGCATGCGTGCTGCATCTTCCCGTGCTTTTCTCAACGGTGCCTTGGGCATCTCCCAGCATCCGCTCGGCCCCTTTCCCCGACTGGCTGCCGGTTGCGACAAGAAGCAAGGAACAAGGTGAGGTGACATGGGATAAGGAGGCCTGGATCTGCGGTAGAACTTGGAAGGCCGCATTAGCCCCTTTTTGCTTGACATTAAGCGCTCGTTTAATCACAATCTTACTGACGTAGGTTGCTGTCTCATGAGACTGCGTGCTAGTATGGCGGCACGTTGGCGCGCCCGGCACTCGCATGTCTCCCTGCCCTCCTAGTCTCTGTTTTACAATGGAGAGAGAAGAGGCAATCATATCCCACAAGCCCGTGGGCAATTTCTGATCAAGGCACGACTCCTTGCTAAGGGCGGATATTGCTAGACTGCTCTCATCTACTCTTTGTTGCTCCGCGCCCTCCTTCTCTCTACCCCTTCTAACCTTGTCGTCTCTCACCTCCACACTGCGGGCAAGAAACGCAAAGCACAACATGAAGCTCTTCACATCTCCTAGCAGGGCGCTTGTCCTAACGGCCTCTCTACTGGGGACAGTAGCCGCGCAGACCACGGCGGGATCGCACCAGGGCGGGGATGGCTACATCGGCTACAACCTGGAGCAGAACGGGGACCCGGAGGCGGCGACGTACCGGACGGAAAACACCGACACGGCGGGCGTCGAGCTGCCGACGGAGCCCGACGTGTACCTCAACGCGTCCGTGTCGGTGCGGGAGATCTCGATCGAGGTCGAGAACATCACGGCAAAGGTCAACCTGGACGCGCAGGTGCTCAAGCTGCTGCACTTCAACGCTGGCGTCGACGCCTCCATCGACCGCGTGCGGCTCTCGATCCAGAACGTCACGGCAAAGGTCGAGCTCGAGGCGCGCCTCGGGAACCTGCTGCAGATGGTCAGCGACGTGCTCGACTCGATAGACCTTAACCCCATCGTGGCCACGCTCGGCCGCACCATCGGCGGTGTCATCAACGGCACCACCGGCATCATCGACGGCGGCAATGGCAACGGCAATGGCAACGGCGGCGGGAGAGGCGACAGCAGCGGCAGCACGGTGCAGAAGCGCAGCCTCGAGTACAACCTGGCGTACAACATCCTCTTCAGCGTCAACGACTACAGCGGGCGGAACCACCGCAACCGTATCCTGGCACAGAACGGCAGCATCTACGACGTCTACCTCGACAACAACGGACGCGAGAGGAGCCGCCAGCTCGCCGGCGACTACCGCCGCGACATGACCTTCACGGGCCACAACAAGACCATCGAGCACGACGGTGTCCCCGTCGAGCGAGAGCTGCAGTACCTCTACAGCCCGTACACGGGGCTCGAGATCGTCGCCCTCGTCTACATGGACATCGTGTCCGCGCGCGTCGTGCGCACAAACGTCGTGGCCGGCGCCGAGGCGGGCGGGAGCAGCTATATCAATGGTCAGCACGGTGGGAGCTGACGAGGGGGTAATGTTGATACCGGATCCGTGGATGGTTCATTCTGTAGAGGACTTGGCTTTGTATTTTCTCCAATGTTCACAAGTTCGTCATCAATTCACGTCAATTTAAACATGGCTCTGCAGGGGTGTCGCTGTGTTAATGACTCGCGGATTGATGTGGTTCGGGAGCTTGGCACGGCTCCGAGCGTTTGGTTCCCTCGAGTCACGCCGTCATCGTGTTTCTGTCAGCACATGAAATACGCGTATTCCGTGTTCGTACCGTATTCCGTACCTGTATATCGTGTCTCTCCCACCCCCATCAAGTCGGGTCAGCTTGGCATCAAAGCCTCGTCGATACACGAGGCGGAGTCCAACAACACAGCATTCAACCGTCAGACTAGGCATTCATCTCAGGGATCTCTGCCATGGACCTCTGTACCTGTCTTCATAAAGGCAGCGCCTTGCCGCCTTCCTTGGACGCCAGAATGTCTTGGAGACCAGACTCCCAACCTATCAAGCGGAAATATCACGCCCGGCCATCGCGACCAGTGCCGCTTCGACTACAAACCTATATTTTTTCGCGACATAGCCTGATCTCCTGTTGATATCGGTCTTCCCAAGCTTTGACGATGTCTGGCAACAGCGCTGGTATGCTCCCACGCTCACCCTTCTTCAACATCCTCCTTTTAGACTGACGTCCGACACGCACAGCTTCGAAAAGCTTGTTCTTCTACACCCCCAGCACTGCTGCTGCGGCCGCCTTCACTTCGGCGTATGCACTGCTGACCCTGGGCCATCTTTACTCGACCTGGTATGCCCCGCCGACATCCCTGGCTCCGTGAGCCCCCTGATGCCCAGCCTGTCTAACCATCCGAGTGACACAGCAAGTACAAAAGCTGGAATACCTCTGGCCTGTTGCCGTTTACAGCTCTCGCCTTCACCTCTGGCTTTGCGGTCAGGATCTTTTGTTCCTACCACCCTACCCACGCGAATGCCTTTATCGCAACCCAGTTCATCCTCTACGGCACAGCGTCAGTGCCTCTTCTTTATTACCAGCCCAGCAGTTCCTCCTCAACCCAAATCTGAGTCTCATGCGCTAACAGGACTTCTACAACAGCCCCTTGCTCGAGCTCGCCAACGCCCACATCCTAGGACGAATCCTCTACTATGTCCCCTACCTCTCACCGATCCACCCGGGCCGCGTCCTATCCAGCTTCCTCATACTCTCATTCGTCGTCGAGATCCTCAATGCCCTGGGCGTCATGCAGAGCATCGCCGGCGCCATCCTCCAGGACAGGGACCCCGAGGACGCCGCGGCCCGCGTCAGTGCGGGCAGCGCCATGATGAAAGCCTCGCTCGTCCTGCAGCTCTCCTTTGCGCTCCTCCTGGTCGGCCTCGGCGCCGTCTTCCAGTGGCGCTGCCGCCGCCGCGGCATCCGCGCGCCCCGCGTCGACCGGCCCCTGCTCGGCGTCTACCTGTCGATGCTGCTCGTCACGGCCCGCACCGCCTACCGCACCGCCGAGCACTTTGCCTTTGACAACCTCACCGTCACGGGCCCGGACCTGGACCCGGCGTCGGTGCCGCCCGTGGTGCGCTTCGAGTGGTACTTTTACGTCTTCGAGGCCGCCTTCCTGTTTCTCGCCGTCGCCGTCTTTGTGGTCCTGCACCCGCGCCGCTGGCTGCCGCCGAACAAGACGACCTACCTGGCGCAGGACGGTGAGGCGGAGCTCGAGGGCCCCGGCTGGAACGACAAGCGGCCCTTCATCGTCACGCTGTGCGACCCCTTCAACTTCGCGGGGCTCCTCGGCCGGACGCCTCGTGGCGCTGACGGGAATGATCGTCCGTTCTGGGAGAGTAATGGGTACGAGTTCAAGAAGGGAATGGGTCGAAGGAAAGGCGAATCTGCAGAGGAAGGCCTCGCGGTTCGCGGCAACTGAGCGAAAACATTGCGGTCAGCAAAGCTTGCATGATGATCTGCGCCTCACCGCTCGACAAGGGCACTGCCAGAGCCACCGGGGGGCTGTTCGTCACACCAAGCATCTAAGTGGCTGTCAAGGAGTGGCGGGCTTTTGTGCTTATATACTAAACAGCTTTAATAGACAGCGTCGTATATGCCAACAAGAGTCGAGCACCAAGAATACCCTGTTAGATGCGGACCACTCGTTGGACAACTGTAAAGACCAACGCCCCAGGCCCCTGCAGGCCGTGCCATGAATGTAGTCATGGTTTTAGGCATGCCGCCTAAGGCTCTTATCATCGTTGTTCGTTACCCGCAATGGTCTCTCCCCCTAGAGGCGCCAAACGTCCCCATCTACCCCTAGCCTACAAATGCCTACCCAACATCTTTGATGATAATCGCCTGGGCAGCATGCATGTACTTCAGTTGTAAAATGGGCAAGCGTGAATTTCCTAGGTGGGATGGCCTTCCCGAAAGCCATATCCAGTGTGGCCCCAATTATCGTTTGAACCGAGGTCCAGCGGGGGATGCGGGAGGTAGTTGCGAGCGCCAACTTCACGTGGTGTTTATCCTCCCTTCAACCCGCCGCTGCGGGACACTCAGAGATACTCTTTATAAATAGGTGAGCCGTGCTCGCTCAGTCACCGGTGAAGTCTCACCTCACGTCTAGCTTGGACATGGTTATACCGGTCATCGGGCGGAGCAAAAGAGTATCCGCCGTCTTTGTCATCCAAGAGTACGAGGCGATGGCTGATACCCAGGGGCAGTGGTGGGCTAAACGCTCCAAGACAGGCAAGGCTCCGGTACATATGGATGGACGGGAATGGCAGGGACTTCAGGAGAAGGCCCCGCTGATGGTAGGTGATCGGCCTTTAAGAAGTAAAACTATCTAGTCTGCCAAACAGCGTGGCCCGGCTTATGGCAGAGCCTTAATAGAGCGGAGAGTTGGAAAAAAGGTGGCACATAAGGCACACAAGAAAACAGCCATTGGAAAAGACAAAGCATCAGGTGACCAGGTACGCGCTCTCGGTATCAAGCCGCCGGCTCCTGGGTATGCTGATATTGTACTTGGGATAGCAGTAGCTCGACCCCTGACCCTGCAGACCGCTCCCAAAAACCCAGCTGACGCCGAGGCAGCGGCCCATCGTGCTGCTAGGGTAAAGGTTAAGCTGGGCGCAAAGGGCGAGGCAGTCGGGCATCGAGGTGGTGGGGAAGCTGCCAATGTCGCCGGCCGTCGTGTCGACACCGCAGACGCGCTCAAAGGTCAGGCTCGTGCCCGGGACCGTGTACCGGGCCGTCGCGTTGTCGCGCCGCGGGCAGTCGACCGCGGGCGCGCCGAATTGCGACTCGGCACGCGGGGCCGTGTTGGTGTCGAAGCAAATGCGCGGGCTATTACCGCCAGTGGCCGGGTACGTAGGCGCTGTTCCGTTGGGTCTGGAGGGTAGAGTCAGTGGCTGGTTGTGGTATGAACGAAAGAGGCTATTGTGCAGGATAATGCCTACGACGTAGGCGGCCCGCCGCCGTTGGATGCGCCGGAGCCCCCGGCGCAGGCCCCGCCGGTATTTTGGTTCTTGTTCAGCTGACTTGGGAGGACGCCGACGAGGATGACAACGATGACGAGAAAAATGTTGCTGAGAGTGAGAAAGAAGGTCGGTTTTCTCAGACCCAGTATCGTCTTCTCTGGAACTGGCGAGGCCTGGGAGAAGGACGCAGACGGGAGCTGTGACGACGAATGATATGCCATGTAGGTATCGTTGGGCTCTGGCTTCTGAAATTCCGTCGTCGAAAGGTGCTGCTGGTGTGGCGGGTGAGCCGGCGGTGTCCCAAGTTGGGCCTGGCCATGTGCTTCTGGGAGAACATAGGGCGAGGCGCTGGCCTCGACGGCGCTGGGGAGTCTTTCCATTGTCTGTTCGACGGGGTGCAGGCCGTTCTCAGGCATCGTTTGGATACCATCATAGGAGGCTGGCGTGCTTCTCGGCTGTGGCACAACCCCGTGCTGGCCATAATGATAGTCCGCCATTGGGCCAGTTTCTCTTTGACGGCAGTCCTCCCGGGGGTGCCCTCGTTTGCTATGACCCACGACAAGCGCCGCCAAGAGCCTTCACCTAGAAGATATGATGCGCGAGAAAAAGCTGAAAAAACGAAACAGGCGCGCAGCCCGCGCGGCACTGATGGAAGCAAAGAGAGGGTAGCATTATGTATCGGTTTTTTGCGTCGCGCAGCCCGCGGCCGATACTGGGCCCGAAGGACTCGGGAGGTCCCCTCTCACTTCCGTTTCTGGCATGTCAGGACGAGGCGAAGCTTATTAGTGGGAGGGAAGACCCCACCAAGGCCGCCATCGCCATCTTAAAGAGGCGCCTTTCCCTTTTTGGCGAGTGTGTGCCTGGACATGTCGGGGAGGTGGTGTGCTAGGAGTCGGGGTCGTTGAGGGAGGACGATGCGTCGGAGCACCCAGATTGACCATGTTCCGCGCCATTGGTCATGAAAGAAGTAACCACGTGACCTCGGACATAACGTTCTGCTTTTGCGCTCGGCATAGCGTTGTTTAATTTTAGCACAGGCGGGGCAGAGGCACCCTGGTCGTCGTCATGCAAGGCCGCCGCCATCTGTCGCGACTTGCCCCTAGCGTCTGGACTTGAGCTTGTCATCCGATAATCTACGTGCCTTTGTTGTCATCACCAGTCTTGGCGGACTTAGATCTCTGGTTGGTAGCGATTGTCCCATCCATATCAGTCCAACAACCAAGACCGGGAGGAGCCTTGATGAGATGCAGCCTTGGTTGGTGCTACCATTCCAAGCCGCTGGTTCCTTGCTGCTGACTGTCAGAAAGCACGTGCTAAAGGGTGACACCATCGTCGCCACTGCGAGTTTCAACCTCGTCGATGACATGCATACTCACGGATGAACGACTAGATACAACTTTGACTTGAAGTCCAGGTTTGAGCGCGGAGCCTCAATTACCCTAATCTTTTCTCGTTGACTTTTCTTTGAGTCGACATTGCCAACATGTCCCACCCGAAGCGGAGATATCACACCAAATCCAAGAACGGCTGCCAGGCCTGCAAGAAGCGTCATGTCAAGGTGTGTTGGCGATGGCAAGCAATCTCTCCCAGCCCCAAGAACTATATACTCTGCTCACCATAAATACCACTCGTCTAGTGCGACGAGCAGGGCCCACCATGTGCCAACTGTGTGACACGAGAGACGGCCTGCGTCTACGGAACGGCGCCTTGTGCGGAGATTTCCCAGAACGGCGTACGGTCGGGTCCCTTGTCCGAGCCGTCTACAGCACTCGAGATGGCGCTGCTACATCGCTGGACTACTACCACCTCCCTCAGTCTTTGCTGTATCGAGGAGGAATACGAGGTTATGCAGGTTCTCGTCCCGCAAACTGCTCTTAAGCTGCCGTTCCTGATGGACGGGATGATGGCCATCTCGGCCCTGGATATCGCCATCAACGACGAGGGTAGCAAATACCCAACACTGGACGCAGACTATCCACTCGTCGCCGCCCGCTATTACGACCGAGGCCTGACTGCCTTCCGAAAGCTCCTCACCGGGTCTCGGGACAACCTAGACCCCGAATCCCACCAGGCCATGGTCATCTTCTCGTCGATTGCCGGAATCATGAACATGGCCATGCCACAGTTCGATGTTGGTCCTGACGTTGGGGAGTCGTCGACGGGCAGAACTCTTGCTGCAGCCATGATCCATTTCGACATGATCCACGGCGCTGGCCAGGTGGTTCTCATTGCCTTGGATTGGTTCGAGGCAGGCCCGTACCCGACCAACGCCCGGCCCAACTGGAAGGAGGATGTCCTGTTTGAGCTCTTGGACGAGGACACCAAGGCTGCCGTGGCCCACCTCCAGACAGTGAACGACATGGTAACTCGGGAAGACGGGAGCCTCCCGACGCCCCCTTCGAGTGGGAAAGATGCAGACGGCAGCACAAACACCGACTCGGAAGCCGCAAGGAGCACCAAGGCCATGTACAAGAAGGCCATCTCGTACCTGGAAGAGTTCTTCGCCCGCACACTGGACCGCAACACAAGAGGCTTCGGCCTCCTCTGGCCCACCATGGCTGGTGCCGAGTACGCGGCTGCGGCGCGGCGGTCCGAGCCGCTCGCTATACTCCTACTCATGTACTGGGGCGTCATTCTCCACCGCATGTCCAAAGACTACTGGTGGGCCGGTCGGCCAGGCAGGGCGCTGGTACGCGAGGGCGAGGTCGCGCTGCGGTCGTCGCCACACGCGATGCTGCCGACCTGGGTCCAGAGCGTCGAATGGGCCTTGGCCGCGATTGGAGAGACCAGGGCGGCATGAGGGACGGTGATTTAATGCCACGGGCGGCAGCAGGGCCGGGCCGAGGCACCTGCACAGCACGTGGATCGTGGCAAGGCTCGAACGCAGTGCACCCTCAAACTTCCACCACCTTCCTGTGGCTCTCTATCCACCCAACTCCTCGGATCTCACCCCGAACCTGGGTATCGCAGTAGTCGACATGTGTGAAGGAGCGGCAGGGATACCGGCGCATCGCTCAATATCCGCGTTGTCTTGGCCGGATCCTTTGGCCGCAGTGGTCCCGGTGGTGTTGCCCTCTTCACCTGCGGGCGAGGACACTTGCGCTCCTTCCCATGCAAGCGGGCTTTCTTCGACCTCAATTGTCCAACTGCTGGGCCCGGATATTGGGCAATAGCTCGACAGTAACTGCCCCTAGGCTCTCAGTGCACCTGCGTCTAAAGACCGTGGTGCCGGCCAAGAAGTCATGCTGGCGGTCGGGACATTTTTTTGCTGCTGGGGCACAGCATAGGCAAGGCACCCTTCGTCACGGCAGTTTGGGCGGTTAGATACCTCCATTGCATGCTTTAGTGTGTGCAAGCATACAAGACACGCTGCCTCAAAGTATCTCTGGGGAGTCATCGTCACGACTGCGCCCACTAAACACACTACCCGTTCCGTGATTCGTCAGCGCCCGTATTCTAACATCTCAGAAACCACGCACGGCGCTCTCGCGTTCACAGACATGTGAGATAGGGAACCGAGTCAGTCGAGAGGGTGGCGATGGGACGCGGTCGTGGTGGTTCGGAGGTTCGTAGAGACCATGGTCAGCTTTCTAGTGTCTCTAATGCTATGCGCGAAATCTAGGCGTGTCTAGGGTAGCTCATTTTGACGTTGGATGATGAGGTTGAGGCGATTGGGCGGCGAGATGTCGTCGGGTCTTGGCCTAATTTTTGTTTGATGGCTGTCGTTGCTTGAAGTCCTCGGCAAGTGGCCCTCGGATCGACGCGATGGACGGTTCCACAAGGAGAACCCATTTGCGCCCCACATGTCGACAAGGCCGCGTCACGCTTCGACCTCGTGCTCGCACATGTTTCCTCAGCCCAGGTTAGGTCTTAGGCTGGCGAGTCGCTTTGCTCCCTTGTTTGCCTTTCCGCCGTCTTGGACAAGATATCGACAGCTTGAGACAAAAACCACAGCTAGTCAATCCCCTGGCCTAGCCGCGTGTCGATATCAAGACTAGTAGAGTCGTGCAAAAGGCCCGAAGTACAAGCACAAGTAAACTCCATGATGAATGAAGCGCCCTGTCCCATGCAAAGGAAGGGAAGCTCCGCCGCCGGCTCCCGCTCCGCAATGGGTAGAAAGGGTGACAAGCGCCAGCCGCATGCCCGACACGAAATAAAACATGCACCCTGCCGCGGCTTTCGACGCTAGTCAGCCCTGCGATGCTACTGCACAGGGCTAGCCCCAGTCCCAGCCCCACCCAAACAGAGCTGGGACCTGCAACAAGGGGAGGGTCTGGATCGAACCGAAGCCGTCGCGAGATCGACTCTTTTTCTGCTCCGTGCAACCTCGCCGTCCATCAGCCTCAACCTTCTTTTCTTTGGACCGCCAACCCGCGGTGCTGGCTCTCCGTGCACAAACCGCCTCTTCCCCGGCCAGACCTCGCACGCAGTCCCGGACCTTGCGCCTTCGCTCCGGTCTTGCTAGCCTGCTTGCTGTCGATGCTGGTCCGTCGTGGGCTCCTCTAGCAGGCCCATGCGGCTCTGAGCCGCCAAGAATCCGAGCACGCGAGGGTCCCATTACACTCTTCCGGTCCCTTTGTCCTGGCATATTTCTCATTCCTTTGCCCGCTTCCTTGGACATCAAGTAGGATTGGATTCCCTCCTTCCTTCTTGTCGTCTGTCTGCGTCTTTGTTTGTCAATCAAGTCGTGCCGTCGACATAATGCGGGCCAGCCTTGCCACCATCGCCCTGTCGGCCGTGGCGCTGCTGCTCCCGGTGGGCGGTAGCGCTCGGGAGATACCGGAGAACATCAAGCAGCTCAAGGCCGCCATCATCGCCAAGGGCGACTGTCAGAAGAAGCTTGCGTCGGGCTTTAGGGTCACCGAAGGCAATCCCACAAGTAAGCCATGTTCCCAGTGCCGCGAAATAGCCGCCGCCGTCACCAAATAGCCAGCCACCCTTCCCCTGCTTAGCACACACGCCACTATCACCTGACCGTACACTAACATGGCTCCTCTCCCAGCCGGGGCGTATTGCGGCGACATGTTGGACAAGTACGGCATCATCTACCAGCAGATGCCCAGCGGTCAGCTGAGCGACATGGACGTCGACTGCGACGGCCAGCAGGCCAACCGCACCGGCGACGACGGCAGCTGCGGGCTCAGCACCGACACCCAGCCCCAGACGTCGTTCCGCAGCAACGTCAGGGCCAACGGGGCGGCGGCGGCCATCGGCGTCCAGGACCTGAACCCCTTCATACACTCGTACGTCGTCTTCGGCAACACGAACGAGGGCAAGCCCAGCTGGCCCTCGTTCGATCCCCAGGACCGCGGCCGCAGGAAGCTGCTGGGGGGCAAGCGGGTCGAGCCGCTGAGCGTCATGGCCGTCGTGTGTGGCGACAACCTGGTAAGGACTTGTCCTGTCTCCCTCACTCTTTCCTCCTCTCCATGGCTCCTTGCCGAACTTTCGCCTCCGTCACCTCCCTCATCTAACTCTCGGATTCCCCCTTTCCCACAGTTCTACGGCCTCTGGGGCGACGAGAACGGCCCGGACGGCAGGTACCCCATGATCGGCGAGGCGGGCATCGGGCTGGCGCGCGCCTGCTTCGGCGGCGCCACCACCATCGACGGCGGCCACGGCTGGTCCAACACGGACGTGCTGTACCTGGCCTTCACGGGCTCCGACGCCGTCCCGGACGCGAGCCGCCAGCCGCGCTGGGACGCGACCAACTTTGCCGACTTTGAGCGCAGCCTCGCCCCCGTCGGCGACGCCCTCGTGAGCCGCGTCGAGAAGAGTGCCGCCGGCAGGCCCGCCTGCCCGCCCTCCTTCCTACGCCTGCCGGGCATCATCCACAGCACCCTGGTCGCCGCCCTGCCGCTGGCGGCCCAGCCGACCTCGTACCGGGCCATGCGGCAGCGGCCGTCCCGCTGAGGCCTTGGGGAAAAGGGGTGAAGGGTGTCGGCGTTGCGCGTAGAGGGTGGGAAGTCTGTGCGGCTCCCTTGTGACGAGATAAATCTTTTGGTTCAGCATTAAGTGCATGGCGAACAGCCTGGCGTTGTTTTTGGGTTTATACCTTCTTTTTAATCTTTCATGGCGGCTTATCTGACGCTGGCTGCTGTCCCCACCATCTCTTCCCCAGCCATTTGTATTTCACATTAGATTCCGTCTTTTAGAGCTCCGACCTTTTCGCTCGTGGAACTGAGAACCCTTTCCGCCCCCGCGCGTCTTTAACCTAAGGAACACTGTGAGCAAAGCCAAGTCCGCTCCGCTCAGTCTGATGCATATAGCAAACGGCTCGGGCCGCGAGTAGGTTAACGGCACGTAAAAATATTGGAGGCGTCTATTTGAAGTTATGCCATTTATGAAGCTGGCGAGTTGCCTCCCCATCATACACAAATACGAGTGCCTGAAATGCTCGCACAGCTACCTAGTAGGTAGTTAGCTACTAATAATGATCCGGACTTTTTTTGCGGCTGCCAAAGACAAGTGCCCGAACACACGATAAACAAGCGGCGCGTTAAAGGAACGGCCACGAACTAACAAGTCCGAGTCGCCTGGACATAGTCCGATTTTAACCCGCCTTGCACACGTCTGCCTACCCTGCACCCACCCTGTATTTCGGATTGCACCAGCGTTGGTTTGTGGGTGGGCGTGAGCCGACCCTTCTTGGCCGTGCCAAGAGATTCCCATCCTCCCGACTGTGCCCTCGAAGGGTGAGGGTTAACCGCAGAGTTAGAAAGCCCGTAAGTCGCCATTCGGGTTATCGACGACTCAGATACGGCTGCATCGGTGGTCTCTGACGGACCAACCGGGAAACGAGCCAGTCTGCAGAACTGCAAGGCACGCGTGTAGATGGGGCTATCAGTTCGCAAGGGACACACGGAGGGAATGCGACAGGTGCGGGTGCTCTACACATGGGCTGGTGGCCGGCGTGGAGCCTGACACATCTGAGTGTCGGGTGGCATGCGAAACCATCGCTGGAAACAGCCCCCTTCGTATCGCTAGCTTGAAGTAGAAGAGGTGTCCAGATCGCGTCTGTCAACTGCCGACTGGCCGGGAGGATGGCGCTGGCGTTGGTCCCGTGGGCTATGCCAGATGCTGAAAACACCGTATCACCGGAAGTTGCTGGCCGGGTGACGTTGCCCCGTATTTGCTGCGGTAGAGACAGGTCGCCTCCATCACAAAGAATACTCAATCCAAGCGCGAGCCGGGTAGATGGAAGACTAAAATTCGACGGCAGCTTTATTATAGAGAGGGCTTGATGTCGTACTCGACCTCGGTGCGAATCACGTACTTGGCCCCCTTCCTCACGCCCGTCCCCTCGTGCAGAGGCGCGTCCCTGGCGTCGCCGTGCGGGAAGAGCGCCGCTGCGCCCATGATCGGGCGCACCGGGTAGGCGTTGAGCGTGCCGTCGCGCGCAGCGGGGAGAAAGTACGTCGTCTCGCCGCCCTCGAACTCGTCGTTGAGGTAGATGAGGAACGTGAAGAGCGAGCTCTGCTTGCCCTCTGAGGCGTCATAGACGTAGCCGTCGTCCGGCCGGATGCCCGAGGGCGGCCAGGCGCCGTCGATGTGCGCGCGGTACTCGGCCCCCGGCACGTAGCGGTAGACGCGGAACCGGCGGTTGAGGCCGTGGGCGGCGCGGCCGCCCACGGACGCGGGGACGAGCTCCCGGATGCGAGCCCAGAGCGCGTCGTGAAAGGCCTGGTCGACGACCCAGTAGAAGTTGTGCGCAAGGATGCTGACGTCACCGTCCTCGCGCAGCGGGGCGTCGGGCAGAAACCCAACCATCTCGCCAGCGGCGATGATAGATGTACACTCGTCGGGCGAAAGAAGGCCCTTGAGGAGGCTCAGGCCCGGCACGACAGGGTGGGCGTGCTTCTCGACCGGCGTCCGGGTGTCTTGTGCGGCGAGGGGGATCGTGCCCGGCTCGGTCGTGTAAAGGAGGGCGTCGTGATGGTTCGGGGGCTTGCGCTGCGGGCCGGGGGTGCGCTCGATGACGCGAAGGAAGGACGCGAGATCGCGAGGAGCCGAGTCAAAGATGCGCCTGTCGAGAACCGAGGCGTAGGTCTGTAGGAGTGTGGATGGGAGCGAGCTGGGCGGGTGCAGGTCCCATATCTCTTGGACCGCAATGCCCGGTACGGCCGAGAGGGGCAGCGGCAGGGCGTGGGGGTTGCTGTCAGAGTGGCCGCATGCGCGCAAGACGGCGTCGAGCACTAGGAGACGCTGCTTGTCGCGCTCGCTGCGCTCGTAGACGGCTGCACCGTTGTCGCCATCGGGGCATGTCGAGAGTCCGCTGATGACGTCCAAGTCTCGCACCCAACGGCACAGAGCGCCCAGTTTGGGCTCTTGTCCCCGTATCCTCATCTCGACCAGCAGGATCCGTGCATCGTCGTACTTCTCGTCCGTCAGCGCGCCCGTCACGCGTGCCGTGAGGCCAAGGCTCGTGCCAGCTGTAAGTGAGACAAAAAGAACCGGTGGTCAGCGAACGGAAGTAACCCCAAGCGGTGGGCAAGACAGAAAAAAGGGACAAGTCGACCGTACCGGCGTTGTTGACACCGCTGGTGCAGCTCTGGCGAAAGTCAAAGACAGCGGCTCGCAGGTCCTTGCACTGCTTCGCCTTTATCAGCCCCGGATGTTTGGCCAGAGTGGACAGTGTCTCGACGGCGATCTCGAGCTCCTCGTTGGAGATGACGCTGTGCAGGTTGGATGGCTCGAGGGCAGTGGCGCCATTGTCGTCGCTGTCGGGTGGTGTCCTCGTCGCGGCGGTCGGGGCCGTCTTGGCCGCTTTTCGAGGTTGATCGGCTTGCACGCTCTGCTTCCGCTTCTTCGCCGCCTTTGAGTGTGCCATGACCCGCGGATATCGTGTCTGGGACCTGTCTCGTGGTGGTTCTGGTTGAGAGTATCCAGCACAACCATCATTCACATCCCGCGCTGGGACCACCAAGATTTCCCCGCCTCAAAAAGGTGTGGATAATTTGCCTCCGCCCGGCTGTGGGGGTGTTCAAGGAGCCCCATGCTTGGCGGTCTAGGCCTGTACAGAACCGCCTGCAGTCCAAAGCATATCGGGATAGGCTTCATGTTGCTCTCGGAAAAGTCAGACTCATGAAGGGCAGGCCTCGATCTCGACGAGGCATACCCTGGGCAAGGATTGGCAGTACTATCGCTTGTGGTTTTACTTTGTTTGTGGGCAGCCTGTCGGACCCAGCGCGACGATAACACAAGCGTGTGCCAACCCACGTGCTCCGACAGGCGGCTGAAAACGACAGTGACGACTGGTCTCTGTCTTTAGCCGGTCTCCCACAATTCTCGCGATGCCAGCGATTTCCCAGTGCATCCATACTCTCCATCCCCTGCCAGGCCATCATTTATGCTCTGGCCTTTGGGTAATAACTACATCCGCCACACGGCTGTATGCCCGCATCTCAAGCAACATCCCGACGAGGAGTGTGATGCGGAGCATCGCCTCAGGTCAGTTCACTGTAGTGGATGCTCTTCACCGTCAGGACGTCCAAGTTAAGATAATACGTAGCTATTCGTCTGTTGGATGTGGGTGAACTATGTAGTAGGTACTGGTCGGTTAGGGCATTTGGTCTCCTCCCCCCAACAACCCATACTAGTCGGTGATTGGGGTCCATGATAGAATGGCCCCCCTCAAGACCTGCCAAAAGCAACTGCCCTTTCAATGTCCATGTGGATAGTGCACACTTAATGATATTTCCCTTTTCCCAACACATCCACATCAGCAGTTCCCTTGGGTTCGCGAAACGATGAAAAAAGAAAAGCAAAGATCCATAATCTCCGCAGCATGCGCAGAGTCACGGTCGTGCAGGCGTTGCCCTCTGACCTGGCTCTCCAGCACGCCGCGGCTAGCGGTTCTGGATCTCGGTGTCGAAGTCCCAGACACCCATAAACTTGACTGCAGTCAGCGCCGTGAGGCGGACGAAGGGGTCTCCCAGCGTTCTATTGAAGGAGACACCCATGAGGAACTGCACTTCGGCAAAGGGGATGTGAGGTTGGGCAGTGATGTTGCCACCAGACCAGCGGGCGACGAGTCTGGGGTAGTCGCCGAACTCGTGGCGCAGGAGCTCGCAGTGATCTTTGCCAGCACGCCAGACGATGGGAATCTCCATGTGAACGGCGTCGGTCCAACGACCCATGGGGACGCGGAACCAGTGGGCGTCGCAGATGCCCCTGTGGCGCGCGCAGAACAGAGGGAGACTGTAGCCATTGTGCTCCGGGGCGTGCACAATCTTGCGGAAACTCTCGGGCTTCCACCAGCGCTGGTCTGCCTTGGGGAAGCTCTTAGGCATGACCGTGATGACAAAGTCCTTCGCTTTATCGCCTTTGCCATTGACGCGGAACGAGCCGACGGGGCTCGGCTTGTCGCTCTCGAAGTACGAACCCTCGTACAGGTAGACGATGGGGTACTTCTTCCATGGCAACGGGCCTCCAATCATCTCCTTGCGAAGAGTGAATAGAGGGAAGTCTGTGAGGGCCTCTTTGAGGATCCACTCATCTTGTGACAGCTTGATCAATCTAAGCGAGTTGCCGCGCCACTGGATGTCGAGTTTGGAGCCCATGTATAGGACGGCGTCGAACTCGGGTACAGCGGGGCGAACCATGAAGGGTCGGGAAGTAGGGTGCTTGGGGTACTTAGGCCGGCTCTCAACGAGGCCAAACGCAGGGTCATCCTTGGGGTCCTTGGTCTCGGAGCCAGCGTGCTTGGAGGAGCCCTCTCCGGCATTGTCAGCGAGGGCCGCCTCGGCAGCGGCCGCCTCGGCCTCGGCCTTGAGGCGCTCAGCCTTGACTTCATCTGGAGTGTATTCCTCGCACTCGGCGTCAAGACGGGCCATCTCGGCGCGGAGCCGCTCCCAGTCCTCGGCTCGAATGACTTGCATGGCCCACTTGTCGTCAACGGGCTTGGCTCTCGGATCCGGAGTACTGCAGATGGGCGTGTTAGGTGGGGTGGTTCCCGGGCCGATGGCATCCATCAGCTCCCCAAGTTGGCGAGGGTCCTCCGGTCTCTCCGGAGTGATATCCTTCCAGTCGTATGGGGTGGGGACCGGTGTGGGTGTGCGTGAAGAGGAGGAAGACATGTTGCTCGTTGTCATAAGCTTGGATCTGCGAGTTCGCCAATTCTTGTTTAGGATACAGTAGAGACATTCAAAGGGCAAATCTCTGGCAAGCGTGCAGAACAAGTGATGCCGACTCGGGAAGAAACGGGATGGCGAAGACCAAAGCAGAGGCAGATGAAATCACAACACATACCTTCTTTCCTCCTCACGACGGCTTCTCTCGATGGTGGCTTGATGAGGGTCCTTGATTGCTTTTGGGGTTTGTGGTGGGCGGATGAAGGTGGAGGAGCCTGGGAAAGTAAAAAGAGAAGAAGAGTGAGACCCAGAGGTGGGGGGGAGATATAGTCACAGACGCGGCAGAGCAGAAACTTCTAGGGAAGGAGCGAGATGGCGCTGACCAGAAACGTAGGAAGGAGTGCTCCCCGGTGAACCGAAAGAAATGGGCACCCTACCCCCACTATCTCGCCTACCTGTCGGTACTACCAGGTGGTAGACATAGGCGGGAAGGTGCTCAGGGAGGCAGGCGCCCACCTAGGTACCTGGCTTTGCAGCATCTACACCGAGAGCATTATCTTCGGTGATGTCGTCACCAACTCCTAGCCGAGGCCCCGTGACGCTGGGTGTTCACGGCGCCTCATGGCCTACCAACTTTGTATGAGGACCTTCTACAACCTCTCCAGGTAGCTGCACGGACAGCTTGACTGTCAACTCCTTTTCTCCGTGGGTGCTCGATTTTTGAAGTGGCTATGGCCAGCGTGAGAAACGTTTATCTGCTCCATAGCCAGGAATTCCTTAGACCTGTTGACCTCGTCTTGGCCACGTTCGGCATCCTTGTGCTCAAGTGCTGCCACCGCCATCCCGCTCTCATGGTGGATACTCGCGATCTGGCCCGCTGCCTGGCCAGACTGCAGTGCCATCCAAAATTGCGGCAGCTGCTGAGCTATGGCTCGAGACGAGGGGTCTCATTCCTTTTTCGGCACGGTGGCCCTTCCACGTAACTCCGAGGACCATGTTTCCTCGTGTATAGCAAAAGCGCACACTCCTGGAAAACCTAGATGTTGGTCTCACCTAGTGCGGGAGCCATGTTGCTCTTCGGTCGCTGGAGTATGCTATTCTTCCCGCCCCTTATTCTCCACTCACCCACGGTACCTCCTTCGCTACACATTGGATACTGTGAGAAGGGCCCAGTCGCTGGCATCGGTATGGTCGGCAACAGAGATGGATGGAGCTCACTGGTTCCGTGCCATGGAGGGATACGTTTTTAGTTAGCTGACCCAGGTGGTGGGTAGGTAGCTACCTAGGTAAAAACCTAGGAATGGGCCTTTAGCAACTGCTTTCTTATGTATAAAGTCTGTTTCCTTCTAACACATATATCCTTTTTACCTTATGCGAAAAACAAAAACCCTTTCTTTAATTACAACGATCGGTATCAAATTTTTTAGGTGGTTTAGTTACTTAGCGGTACATGCACTATTTCGTGCTTGCATATTCGGTGTAGGATTCGTTTCAACAACAAATAATTTATGTGGAACATTGCCATAAAAATATCGATAACCCAATAAAAAATTGCCATTAAGGCATAGCTAGGTAGGCCATTCGAATTAACGAAAATTAAACCGGTTTTGGGATGTGTGGTAATTAATATCAACAAGCTTTAAGAAGTACGTGTAAAAATTCTAAGTAGTAACCACCAATTGTCAAACATAACAGCGC